CAGTTTGTTATACTAGTGTTGTTGGTTTTAGCCTTTTTTCTATGTTTACGTTTGAGTTTTCATCCAACATGGTTTTCGTTACTGTTGTTTTTGTTTTTCTATGGGTGTGTAGCGGTGTAGAAAGTGGAAAGTGGATATCGTGCTATGGTAAGTGCCAGTGCAAGTATGATATTGGCACCGTCAACTGCGCAGGCAAAGATCTCGCCGCGATCCCGTATCCCACCGAACCGAAGTCATGGATCCGCCACATTGCCTTCAGTGGGAATTCCGTTCGCGTCGTTCCCTACTACGGACTGTCGGTGTACTACCCTAATCTCGTGTCCGTTGATTTATCTGGAAACCCCGTCGCTGAGTGTATTTCCCCGCCACCGTTCGTGAAGTTTCGGGTTATTTCTATTTGCGGCGCTGGCACCCCGTCTACCACTAGTTTTCTGTCGACTCTGCCGACTACGATTGCCCCATACATCACCACTGGGACTGGTGAATCTTCTGCGAGTGCCTTGCCGTCGGAGCCGAGCACCACTGTGGATAAAGGCACGGAGACGAGCGCCATTGTGGACGAGGACGGTGAGATGAGCGGAATGAATATTCTCTATGCAATCGTTGGTGCCGTAGCAGGTTGTGGAACTATCACCGCTTTTGTCTGTTTCATTTGCAAGAAGTGTGCCAAAAAGAACGGACCAGCCCGACTGCGTCTGAAAGCACCAGATGATGGCATCGAGATGGGTTTGCGCAATGATACCGTTTCAGAGGTGTCAGAACTGTAGATTTTTCTTTATGAAAAGAAATTGTGTACAGATTTTTACTTTTTTATAGAATCTCAACTATGACCAAATGATAGTCAGTATTTGGTTTTTTGTTCTGCAGCTTGCCATACGCAAATGTGATTTGTTAGTTTTATACAGTTTTTTTACTGTTCTCTGATCTTCTTTTGCCGCTGTGAAAATGATAGCTTGCTCTTCCCTGATTTTTGTGTTACGACATGCGAAAGTGTAATAAAATGGCCATAAAATGCGGAATGTACGGACACAGGTGTGTTTGCACAGCTGTGTTGTGGTTCTCCCTGTTCCCTATCAAATTGTTTGTTTACTTAAGGAATTTTTACGACTTTGACCTCCTCCCTGGTCCCTTTCAAAATGGTTTTACGATTTATTTGTTTAATACCCCAGGGTGTAAACCGTGACTACTAAAACAGGCAATCCGCGACGCATTCATGCAGAAGCCTCTGCTGGCGATGCTCGTTACTGTACGGAGTCACTTTCTTTTCTACGCACTTAAGACTGTCAATCTCTGGCTGCAATAACGCGGAGGTCGATTTTCCGTGAGTAGCGATGAAGTCTTCCACTGCCTACAACAAGCCGTTGAAGTAGTTATATTCTTTCAACATACAATTAGTAATTAGCACGAGAGGTACATTATTTAAAGTGTTTTACAAGGGTTAGTGTAAGTATACTTTACTAAGGTAAAGCAAAATGTAAGCACTAACAAGTAAGCAGTGAACATCATACAACTACAAACAACAGCAACACAGTAAGTACTAAGTACTAGCGCAAAAATACGTATGCCTAAAACTTGTATGGAGAATCACCAAACACAAAAATGCTTAAGGGCTTACTGGTTCTCTCCCGTGATGAGTAACAACGTGAATCCTGAATTTTCCGTACGATTCGAAATCTTTGACGGTTTTTCCATTGGCCTTCTTGCAAAACTTGCATTTCGCGCTGTGCAGCTGCCCTGTTCGCAAATTTCTTGTTTCTTTCATTGACGAATGGGCTTCGTACAGATGCAAGTAGAACAACTTCGGTGATATGGTATCAGCAAGGGGATTTGATTTTTTGGAAGTGGCAGATTTCTTCGGGTCTCCTTCATCATCGGAGCTGAGCAGTTCCACAGTGTCCACCGTTTTGGACATATTCGTTCTGCCAGATGATCACGGGAAGAGACAGTGGCTGGCGAAAGTTTTAAAATTGCGCATTTAAATAAGAACAATCATTTCGTTTCCAGATGAGTATTCACGACTACAATACTTAGCACGAGATCTAAAAAACTAAGAAATCACTCTACAGACTCTAAGGTTCTTTGCATTTTCATATTGAATTGTAAGTAGAAGTACGCGAACTCAGTCCTGCTGTCTGCTGCTACAATGCCAGTGCCAATGGAACAGCTTCTTTGAGCGGTCTTACAAAACATCAGTGTACTATTGCATATCAATGTGATTGCAGTCTTGATTGAGTGGATTTATTAAGCGTTTCTGCACTGGAATTGGAATTGTGGCAAACACATTTCTTGCGCCGGAAGTAAGATAATTGTAATTTGATAATTATAATTTTATTTTACACCCAGGCTTCTCAGCCCATTTTCAGCCCATTTCGGTAAAAAATTTTCATCCCATTTCTGGAAATTTCAGCCCATCTCACCTCATCTGTGGCTCTGTCCCATCTCATTTTCATTCCCCTCTAAAAGATGAGGTGGGCTGGGAAAAATGGGAAAAATTTTCACCTCACCTGAAAGATGGGCAAAGTCTGGTACTAACTACTGCCTAATAAAATGCATGAGTAAGCAGCGATTTGAGTCTCACGAGTTCCAATCACTAAAAAGGCGAAAACGGTTGGATCGCCAGAATCTGCAGCTACCTCGCTTAATAGCAGCTGGCTGTTTAAAACGAAAACAACGGCTTGATACAAGTTAGAACTGTGGACATTTTTCAGTTAAAACGTTACTACGTAGCAACGCTACAGCAGTATTAGCACCAGGATCCTATCTGTAGCAAATTACATACAGTGCAAAACGGGGAGTAGCATGAGCAGTAAACACACAGTTTCGTTTAACGCTCTACTTGGGTTAGGTAATTATGTTCGAGACCCGGATCATCGTGTCAGATGGTCAGTCAGAATGCTGATTCTGCAAGCAGCGCAACGCATCGCAGCCTGTCTTCCTAACTATTTGGAAAGCAGGTACAAGATGGGTATAGCGATAAAAAGCATCGAGTATGATAGCCGTTTGAAGTTCCTGACTGCAAATTTTCCTAAATTTCGCGTATGCTTTCCAGCGTGCTATAGCGTGGCATTTGCAGCTTGTGCATTTTTCAAGTGCTATGTTATTGCCAAGTTGACAACTACTCCCCATATGATTACATAATTTACATGTAATGGTTGTGATCTAAAAAATATTTATTTGACCTAGACATATCTATTTTGCTCGGGGATAAATTCAAGAAAGTCCAGAAGCGTTTTCTAAAGCAAGTTACAGCAACGGCGTTGTATTCAAATACAACGAGCAACTGCCTTATTATGACTGTGTGATTGGTGCAGTTTCCGACCAGGGTAGTATTGAAGATGTGTGCGAATTCTGCTCTGTTTTTAGAACTTAGTGATCTCCTTTTTATGAACGTAGACAAAGAGACAGTTCACAAAAGTAAAGCACATTATAAATTTATAATGTTAGCACAATTACTTACAGCCCTGCCGCGCCAAGTTTGGAGAGTCATAAAATTTCCTCTACTTTCGCCAGTGAAGTCTAAAATTTTTACGTATCTGTTGCATGATAGCTCTTGATCTGCAGCATCTTCCAAAATTTTATTTCGATGCCAAAAGCTGAAGTACAGAGAACGGGAGCTAGCTGTTTAATTTAATTTTTAGCACAATAATCGCACTGCTTACTGACCAATAATCAAGCTCATTCGTAGTTCGAAAATAATTCTAAAACTGGAGGAGGTTAGGAACTACCAACTGATAGCGTGGTTTTCTAACGGGCCTTTCCTACATTTCATCTAAGCACAAACATTCTGCCTAATGCGATGCGCGCTCTAGGCAACAGCATATCTCTGTAGGCGCTCTTTAACATACAAGTCTAAGGAAGATGCACCTTCCTGCGAGATGACCTCGAGCACCTATCGCGCCAGAATTTTCTGCTAACCTACAAAAGACACCCCTTGGGTCACGCAATAGTTCTGGAAAACTTAAACGCAGAAATATGAATTGGTGCATTTCTTATAGCTGCAGTTATAAGCGGCCAAAAAATGACCCCCACCCGCCCCTTTAGTCGCCTCCTGGTTCATTACTGTCGTGTCGAACGACAACAGCTTTAACACTACTGGATTTGCAATAAAAAGTTATGCCAGAAAAGTACAAATATAAAGATAAAATGCCGTATGGGAATTTATCTGAATTTATTTTATGCAACTGTCCAAACTTGGCGCGGCAGGGCAGTAAATGGTACTTTCGAGTGATATTTATCAAATGTAGAAACATCGCTTATCTGACTAAACTCATTACGATGGCAACTACGTCAGCTGTGCTTTTGAATTGTAGATATCCCGATCTAACGAAGCTTGCGCATTCAAATGGAGATATGAAAAACAAACAAAATAAAAAAAGCAAAACACTATAATTAAAACTGCGCTCATATTAGCAGTGCCCTATATCTATGGTCATCATGAATTCTGATAATGATGACTATAGATTTAGGTCATGCAATGCCCAGCAGAAGTAAGTGCAGTTTCCCAGTTTTAAAATCTTTTCTTCAACCGCCTGGGTGACTGATCGTTTGAAGTTTTATGAATTTTAGTAATAGCGATCGGCTGTTGAATAATACCGAAGTGTTTTATGCAAGAACAAGCCTTCATTATTTTTCCTATTTTGTTTATCTCGCCAACTTGTCATACTGAGCCAATTTACAAAAACCATACTCCAGTCCGTAGCCCGTTAGTTTAAAGCCGCTGAGTGGGCAATGCGTGATCGTTTGAGTGGTACGGGTGCTGCCACAAGCGTTTTTTTGTCGAAAACTGGCTTTAATTTCGGAGTGTTTTGCATGCTAAGCCTGCTAGAATTCCCTGATAGAATTCCAAAACGCAGTTACTCACACCCCGTTCTAGCGAGAATAGCACGTACCATGCTGAATAATCGTGAACTGCTCTAGGTGCTTAATTCGCTGAGTATACATAATATAACCGGAACAATTTTTGCTCGGCCACTCTCAAAATCCCCAAATTCCGAGCAAAATCTGCAAAAGAACTTGTAACTTGGTAAACGTCGTTGGTAAAAAGGGACTTACAGGTAGAATTTTCTTTTTGCGATTATAGCTGTTCCAGTTTGCAAGTTTTTAACACTTTGTTATTGTGTTCATAGTAAGATACCTGGTACGCAACGATAATGTTCAATTATATGACTTGCCTGATCCTGCTCATTTTCCAGCACAACGTGTTCGCCCAGTTTGCGGGAGATATTTACTATAGTATGATGCAGGAATATTTCGTAAACAAAACTAGTTTTGCAAGTCTTGCACCCGAAGTAAGTGAATGTGTCTGTAGTTCCCTTGCAGATTTTTCCTTAGTGGCAAGCAGCCTTTTATCAAGCTGACATAGGCAGATAAATACAGGACAAGGCTAATACTTCCATACACTGTCATCATAACTCATATTGATCTCAATTTGCTTACGGTTGCCCTAATTGCTTACGATCTTAATTGCCTACGCTTGACAGTTTCCGAAGTAAAGCACTAAGCGTTGTGGGTGTTGAAATTTTTAGCTCGCTGCAGTCTTTGAGGGAGCACTTACTACGGAAACGACCCCAACAACAACAACAACAACAACGACGACGACAACACCAACGACAACGCCGTGCCCGACGTGCCACATTTCTGGCAAGTATCTATTTAATAAATCCAAAAGTATCCGCATTTTGTCCACATAATATCATCTATGTGAACGAACTGCCATAATCCAAAGCAAACTTCTGTGGCATAAGGTCTGCAGGGAAGTTATTTTTTCGTAAATAATCCAAATACGTTATTGCGTGACCTAATTTAAATTCTAGAATCAGTTAGTAGTGACTAGCACTGATTTGTGAGTAGGCAATGGTCGAAGTTGGAGGGTGTCAGCTGCGTACGCAAGCCTAATTTGTAATTATGTGATCCCTGTTTAATTTGAAAATGAATCTGTTTAGTCTGGCAGTCTAATACTTAATTCTATGGCAATGTTTTCATTCATCGGCATTTGATTTTTAACCTTTTTTTAAAACTGCTTTTCCGTGAGCCAGAAACGGACTAAGGTGTTGAGGTCGATTTCAAGTGCCATATTTCGCTGATTATCAGAAATCTTACACCACGTGGTCTACAACAAGATTTCAGCATCATCCTGTTTTTACAAGCTTCTCCTGTAATTTCTAACGCAATGTTATAGCGATATAAACAAATTCACGAGTTACGCCAAACTCCATACTCGGGGCGCGCCCCGCTACGCTTTTACCGTAGCATATACATTATATGGCTTAGCGGGTGGATGCTAAAATACGATATAAACAATATTATTGACATATCAGCCGCTTAGAGAAGCAACTACATGACGAATCTTTATTCAGTAATTCAGTGGTGGAGAAATCCGGCAGTTGTAGTTATTAACCGCAGTTGCACTCATGCATAATACTAAAAATAATGCTGTTAGGCAGGTTACAAAATTCCAACACTACGGACGTATCTGCAGATAACACCGCCGCTGCAAGCAGACAGAAATACACGGCGATATAACGGAAAAACGACAGTTATAGGCTAATTTGCTTTGCAATACATTTTGATTTTGGAGAACCCACACTGTTTCATCAGGGCGACTGTGTGCACTGCGCTGCTCCCACTTTTACAGTGACGCGTACTGGCTCAGCCCGAGATCATTAACAAAAAATTACCCTTTTGCTGTTGACCTTAGACAATTTGTTTGTAGGAAGACAATACTGCGAATTTTGGTACACATACGATCATCCTTGCTATGACGATCCCTTCATGGTTTTGAAGGAACGAGAGGACCTCGACTGCGTTGAGAGGCATGTTCGTGGAGGCGCGCGCGTTATGGACCCCTTGAGCAAAGTTTCATGGGCGACTGATAGGGACCATCTGGGATTGTGGTATCATATCCCAGTAATGAAAGCGGCAACCTATGACGAAAACCACGAAAAGTTGTATAATTGCTCCGTCATGAATGGAATAGCGAAGCGCGATTACTGGTGGTTGGCCTGCGAATCTCAGTGCTACAAGGAGGTCGCCTTCTTCCAGGATGGACGAGCCAAGCTACCGAAGACCCACTGACCACCGCTGCATTTACGTGCACGATGCAGATTCGCTTTTTCATCCTGTTAGGGATATTCATCGATACCGGCTGTTTTGTTTGTAATTGTAATCATTTACGCTTGAACATAAAAAATTATCTTGAAGAAGTGCATGTACGGTAGTTTCTGTTTATTTCGTTGTGCGTTGTTGGCGAAAAATACGAGGAGCATTAGCATTGGCTCGGTAGCGCATTCATCACCTTCAGCTGAGCTGAACACAACAGCGATTAAGCAGCAGTTTCCGATTCATCAGTATTTAGGCATCTTACCATTCACTAGTTAGCTATCGGTTCTTAGCTATCCGATAATTGTAGGAGGTATATTACTGCGAAACAAGTTGATTTTGCTCCTGTTTTAACTTGGACTCGTTCGTATATGCGCTGCAGCATTCGCTGGATTATAGATGTTACCTGATTAAGCCACCTCTCATCTCGCACAGTAAGAATTTCTTTGCCAAAAGTTTAAACCATCTAAAAGTTTAAGCCATCTCTACCACGCCTTAATCCACGGGTTCATCGGAGATCCCAGCGGACAGTTGTATGCTGCACCAAATTCCGCGCTATTCTTGTACGGTCCCATCACACGGAATCGGAAGGGCGCGTGTATTGCGTCGACTGATGCTCCACTACCGGCGCACCATGTCTAAAAAGAACCTCCGCTGTAGCTTTGCCCCGTTTTAACTACCAAAATAGGTCACCTGAGCCCCTGTTAACCAGAACAGTTGCTCCTCATTCAGTTTTTCTAATCCCGGCAGTTTGATTCGGTATCCCGTGCGGCGCATAAAATTATGGAAGGCCTGCAGAAAAATCAGTCTTTGGACTCTTTGCGCAGTATATACGAGGATAAAAATAATAAAAACATTAACCAAGTAAGCAGCACGATATCCGCCGTTGTCGGCATTGTTCTCGATGAAAGTTTGTCGTCCATCGACGTTATCATTCTTCGTGCTGATCCTGTTGTAGAAATCCACTAAAGCGTACTTCGTAGCATTATAAGCGTTCCAAGCCGCATCCGTCCACCAGTTAAACAACATCCCGTCTTCACCGATTTGTTTCGCTAACAAGGCACCAGTAATTATGTATTTAGAGTAAAAAACATTTTCTAGTTTGAAATCTTTCTTGCCTTGGATATCAAAAAACATGGGTGAATTCGTGCCCAATGACAGCACCTAAGCGAGCGTAATTAAGAACTTCCAAATCGTTAGCGTAGAACATGGGTGGCTGTAAGAGTGCTGCCGGAATGACTGCAAAGCGAACCACGGACACTTTTAATTATTATGTGCTTGGCAATCGACTTAGCATACAAGACACACGAATAAATAAGTACAAATCAAAAACGAAAGCATAAAGTACTGTAAATAAAGAACTGCAGCAGACAAAAAAAAATTCTGTGGAATGCAAATCAAAAAATATTTATTCAGAATGCAAAGCAAAAATTGTAAATAAATTTATAAGCGACAATGTCCAAAATGGCCTTTTAACTATGGACCCGTAATAGTCGTTTAAGGGCAGCAATATTACAAACAAACGCAAAGCAGGTAGCAGAATACCAATATAATTGCTGTCCGGGTACACCTTAGCGTTTATCGAGGTCAGATCGGTCGGAAAAAACGGATCGTTGCGGGCATTGGTACGGGAAAGCTTTTGTAGGTTAATCCAGCTATTGCTTTGATCGATAGTGCGCAGTGTGTCGTAGAGTGACTTTCCTACTTGAACCTGCAAACATGATAGCACTCGCTTCTATGCGCTTCATGACAGTTGTATTTACTTGCACAGAGTCAACAATAATTATGTCAGTCTACTTCTCATTAGAAACGCTTTCGTTCCTGTAGACGCTAGATGAAATGTCACCAGTTTTAGATGCGGCCACTGCCCGCCCCGTGTCGGGCATGCACGAGGTATGCAGAACATCAAGCAGCAAGTGAGCCGTTTTCCGTACAATCAGACTCAGTGGTACCATTTTATCTAGCGGCTACAATAATATTTTTTTAGTGAACGTGTCGCTGCTTTCGAAACTTATTTCAAAACAAGATCATGCTGAAGTCTTCCTTTCATAAAATACCCCACCCTCTAAAGTGTTTTTTTAATGCATGCAATGCGAAGAGAATGACTTGCCTTTGCGTAGAGGTCATCGATGAGCCTCCAGTTCTCCAAAAACTCCTCGGGATACCCAACATTTTGCAGTGTATGCTTCAGCCTATCCATAGCGGCTTCTTGTGTTGCCCGGTCCATCCAGGTTGTTTTGAGTAAGACCGCGTCGCGCACGCTGTTTGCAATTTCGGATGTCAGCACTTTTGCCTGTTGGCGGAAAGAACCATTAACTATCTTAAAATTTCTTTTTCTGGCTTTTCTGTTGACTTCACAAATGCACAAATCATTTTCTGAGATTTTTCGCTCCGTAACAGAAAAGGGATGCGCTTGACCTTTTGAACGGCTTCGCGCGGTATATATTTCTTGAGGAACATTCCTGAGACGGCCAACGGCATTGTGGCTTTCACCAACCCCACGCAGGTTCCTGTCCCTCGATATACCAGGTGGAAGTGATAGAAGGCAGTCCACCACAGCCAATCAGCCAGTGTCGCCAACCCCGCTTCCCCGTCGCATTCCAGCTGCGCCATCGTTTGATCAAGATTGAGAAGATATTCAAGCTGAAGCGGAGCTCCAAACTGCGTGGCAGTTGTGGCATGAAAATGCACCGAAGACGCTTTAAGCATGGCGTTAAACAGCGGCAAGAAGTTTGCTAGAAAACGCGAACGAAATGGTGGTCGTGTAAGATCTCCGAAGGTCAAACGCTTACGATAGGCTACCGCCTCTGTTGGCCCCTAAAACATCGAAATAAATATTTTGGAAAACAAACAAAGGAAACGAAAACAACTAAGGAAATACGTAAGAATAATGAAACAGAAGCTAGGACACCAGATTTTTCCAATACTGGCAAATTAAAAGATGGAAAAAATTAAAGAGAGATAGAACAAAACCTTCATGAAATTAAAATAAAAGAAATATAACTGTCAAAATTAAAAAAAGTTATGTAAAATATCTGATTATTTGCGAGAAATGTTACGGTCGAAGAAAACGATGAACAACCTTTTAGACAGCGACGTTAAGAACAAATCATTAAAAATTGCGGTTGCATTAACTTGGTTTCCGAAATACAGCACGCACCGCCGCCAGCATAGCATCCAACGTAAGAGCTTTCTCCAATCGCTTTTCAATTGTTGACCACTGGACGCTTGCACTGGCCGCAATCAGTAGGCGCCGCACGACCGGCGTCCATTTATTCATCAGTTGCGCAGTCGCATTGCGAACGGTAGGCTTGTTATGAGCGTTAACCAGTGCTTCCAAATTCCACCTTCCAAAGAGGCGACTGGGCGTCGCAAAGTACAAGATATTCTCGTTGATAGAAAATTCGTTTCTTAATACGGTAAGATCGCTGAAGGTCCGAATGTCGTTCTGCTGCAGACGGACGAGTGTATGCTCCAGGCGAAAAGAGGACACATTGCGGTGGTCGTTTAAAAGCGACCATCCATCAAGCACGTCATCAATAGCGCGCACAAGACTGCCGTCGTCGAATGGCTTTTCTGTTGATAAAACCATGACGTATTACGTCATGCTGACTGTATGCGTTTTAGTCAACATTCTGTACTGTTAGCAATGGAAGCGCCTGCGCTTGAATGAAAAATAAATTACTAGTATCTTCAAATACCATGTGTGCGGTTGATGCACTGGTTGTATATGTCGATGGCTTTTTGTTCCGTGGGATTGGTGTAATTTCCACTGTCGAACAGCTCTAAATAAAAAAAAAATTCAAATAAGATACAGGTATTCTACAGAATACCATTCCCACAACTCCAGCCATGCTTAGAGTATAATTTTCTGTTGCTGTTAACATGTAAATTCCGAAATAATGGCGTAAGGAAAATAATCTTACTCAGCTCCAGACTTTTTGATATACATACATGAAATGAGTTGCAAGGGCTTTATTTCTACTGAACCGATTTTTCGCGTCCTTAAACTTTTGTTTTATTGCAAAAAACTCGAAAAAGTTCTGCCGTGGTAATAATTCTTGAAGTGAAAATCCGAAGAAGTTTTGATTTCGCCCAGTATTTGGAGGATCGATCACTAAGTTGTTCACATCGAAAGATTTGAATTCTGAAATGTACTATCAAGAATAGCTAGAGTAGTTCGTTTATGGGACGTATCATTGGTAATAACCTGCTGTTTTTTACAACGCTTAACATTTTTTATAACTCGGAATTACCGGCAACATGTATACTGATGTAAAGAGCCGATTAAAATCAATCCGGCAGCAATAATCACGGCATTATTCCAATAAATATTTATTTTTATTAGCTGTATTTTTATTGGCGTTGTGCTTGAACAGAATATACCTATATAAGAACAATGGTTCAGTAACCGGAATATCTGGAACCATGCTGTATCCCAGTGCATCATAGATGCGAAGTACACAAATAATTTTAAATTAAGTTTTCATCGATCTACTGATAACGGAAACCAATGTTGCATTAAGCACAAAAGGAAGCAAACGAAAGGAACCAAGGATTTAACTTTATTGAACATCTCTTAGCACACATGTGCTCTCACGCACCTTGTAGTTGCCTGAAAATTTTGGGAACGAGCGCTTCGTTCGCCATACCAGAGCTTCTGTTCCAGCGGTTGCAAGCGTAAGCGTAGAAATCCACACATGGATCAACATTCTCATCCATGCTGGAGACAATTTCACGGGCTATAAAAATCATAAACTATGTAACTGATAAAGCCTACCTAACGTCCGTAGTGGCTGATAGCGACAGTAATCAAGAAGGAATATATCTCGTACATCGAAAATCAGTACAACGCAAAAAAATTTGCACGAAGTAGTTCCCGAGCACTTTTTTCGTTCAAAGTTTCTTTTTTCTCCTTTGCAGCTGAACAGCAGTTCTAGTCGTACATACCCGTTTGTTTGCAAAGATCCGACGTGCAAAGGGTGGTTGATAACTGACGCCTCTCGTTAGCTTGTATCACACTAACTGCAGTAAACAGAAATCTAATCACATTCAACAGTAACATTTCGCGCTTTCTTCCTCTAATACTTTAACAGCATTCAAAACAATCAGATTTTAGTCTGTCTCTAAAGATCATTTGCACAGCACTCTCAAAATCAGCACTGGTTTTACAGACGGATTTTTCGGAGAATGTAGCAATCTAACCGGTAAGTGGAAGGAAGTACTGCAATTTTTAGAGCACCCGTTTGCAGCCTGAAGGAATACCTACTCAGTTGACTGATGTTTTTATTCTCTATTAAAACGCACCTTTGTAGGAAATAATTATTATAGCTTGCGGCAAATCCGGAAAATTAGTATTGTCAGGGTGAAGGCTGCAGCCGCCCATGTAGACGGATACGGTATCTATACAATGCCCCTACTAATGGATTTTGGTCTGGAATATGGGTTTTTCTGATCTTGCATTATTCGTTACGAGGACAATACCTACTCAGGCAGCTTGTAAATGTTATGACCATTGGTAATTATCCCCTTATTAACTGTCCATGGGCACAGTAGAAATTATATACAACTAATACAAGTGCGCAACTGTGCGTTGCTCTAACAAAATCTACAGGGACAATTTTTCTTTGATAATTCGACGGTTAGATTGTACATCTCTTTCTTTATTCATTTAGTTGTTTACAAAAACCGTTGGTTACCATAAAGCGTTTGTTACTGCTTCCTAATTTTCACTTTTCTAATTCTTGTTACAGTTATTAGTGAAATCCTTTGTGCTGAGTCTCGGCAGAAAAGGTTACGCCGCCTCCCCAGCTCTACACTATCAACTGTAAACCTTCCTGCCGGCTACAAGCGCAGACCGTTAGCTTGCGGACTGGGAATTTAAATATGACGTAGTCGTGCAAACTTTTATTAAACGTCCCAAACCCGATCGACGCTCCATTCAAAGCGAACTAATAGACGGTACTGCCCGCTGCTTTCACTGTTTGTCGAAGATCGAATGGAAGGAAAAATTTAAAGGCTTTAGTAGCGTTTATACCGCCCTTAGGGACATTATAACAATACACGCCTAAAATGCTGAGAGCGAGTAATACCGATATAGGATCTCAAATGTTGGAAAAGTCTTTAAAAAGTTCGCTGTGAATAAGCGAGAATGTCTAAAACCAGGGAGTGGAATCGGCGATAAATGTAAGTCAACGAGAATGAATGAAATTAAAAAAAAGTTATCACATGATTATTCGGAAAATTAGCCCTGGCCGCGACGTGTTTTGCCTTTTAAAATTTATGGCTTTGAACAGTGACTACGAGGAGAAAGCTAATATCTTCGGTAGCGCGTTCAAATTCCTGAGACTCTTCGAACACTGTGGCATTGACTGTGCGCATGCACGATTTGACTAAACAGTCAACCGTAGGAGGTTGCCAGTCTCCGTTTAGCTAGAACGGTGTTGATTGGCGCACCTATCCAATGCGGTACAGTCAGCGTTCGGCAAAGCACTTGTGGCATCACTCGTATCGCGCGTGATCGACCACGTTTCACTTCTTCAGCAGATTTAGTTCAAGTGCTACGAAAAATTATAAGCATTGCTATCATGTTTCACTTTCAACTCACTCCTGTGCTCAGCATACTTCACTTTCAACTCACTCCTGTGCTAAGCGTTTTACGACTTACGGGTACAAACGTACAATCGTACACCCACACCAAAACAGACGTTGCTTCTACAAGCCGCCGTCACGCGGCGGTTGCCTTGGACAGAATGACACGCGTGACAGGCTGTCGCGAGTCTGATCATCGCACTATGGCTCTAACCCATGCCACTCTTCAGATCCTGATTTCCGTTCGGAGATTGCAGTCCAACAGGCAACAAGTGTGGCTGCATTTTTAGCACAACGAAGTTTTCGACATTGCGCCACCAGTGTTTCTTTTTCTATTTTATCATTTATTCTTGCTAATCTTTGTTAATGGGTCATCTTCTCGTGGCTGCTGTCGTGGTTGTGCTGGCCTTCAGCGTGCAAGACCGCCTTCTCTGTTCAGCTCAACGCAGAGCTCGCCACCCAGTCGGGGTGGACAGAAGTAGGTGACTGTAAATCTCATTTTTGGGTATACTTGTCTCAAGATGCCACATATGAGTGTTCAGCCATGTCGGAATATTCACTGAGTTTGTGTGGAATTCACATGTGAAGACACATCCGAAATTCGGATAGAATAGTTCATTTCCACGACTTGATCGCTCGCGTAAGATAAAACGAGTCATTCTCCTTTGTAGAATTATTAATTCAGGATAGGAACTGAGAGAAGACCATTCAATTTTGGGGAGCTTTGAAATGCCACAGGTGATGCCGTCAGTATAGACAACGCAGTTGGCAGGCTCTGCGCAAGCTGTGGCGGTCCCACATTTCCGAGTTCTCTCTTCGCACTCAAACATATAAAGTTACACTTAATAATTATCAGAATTGCTCGTAGAAAATTGTGATGTTAACACGAAGGCGACAAAGTTTGTGTATAAAAATAAAACACACTTCAAAATGCTGTAGTCACGCGGCGGCGGAAGGCCGCCATCCCCCGCCCGGTTTTTAAGCATCCACACCGCCTTTAAATTTTATTTCATTTGACAATAATTTTTTTATTAGTGAATAAGATTTTGAACGACGCGAAACGACGCAACGGCCACGGCACCATGCATCTGCACGGATACGGAATTGGTCCCTCGTCTCAGGATTATCCGATAGCGGAATGGCCGCCCCACACGGAAATCATCCGAGCCACGGAAGGCGGCACACTCCTCCTTCCCTGCAACAACACGAACAACCGTCCGGTATATAAACGACAGCACTTACACTTTATAAACAACCGGGTGCGTTTGGTTCACGATTTACAGTGCTACTAGGTAGAAAGCGTCTTGTAAGAACGGCACGCGTACTACTGTAGTACTTTTTACATTATTATACCTCTTTTAATATGGTCGTCTTTCTTATGGCCAAAGAACACCAAACAATTATTTTGCGTTAAAATTATTTAACATGATGGAAAAAAACTAATTTTTCGAGCGAACAAATCGGTTGGATTTTGCGTAATCAAATTCATAATGTCGTTTTTTAATTTTACCTGTTGTTTCACTTGTGAGTGAACGTCGGCAGCACTCACAGGTATCCAACATCGCGATCCCGCCGACATTCGCATTCAATGGAGAGCAGTTTCGCAGTGGAAAAAGAGAGCCGTCCAAGGAAATGAGTTACTTCTGCAACTGCACAAATGAAGTCGGCAGCGGGAAAGTAGTTTTGTACCGCAAATTGGCGCTGTCCGGATATGATCTGATGACGGGCACGTTTTCTATCGCGTTGCCCAACTTCACGTACATCCACACCGGTCTGTACGAGTGCCTACACTCCAACGGGAGCCACTTGGTAGTGACAAAGCGCTACTGGGTCAGTGCGACCCTTTTCCGCCACGAGGTCTTCGATCCACCGATGGAGAACCTCACCGTCCGCTACGGTGACCCAGTGGAGATGGTCTGCCACGTCCGCTTCAACTTTCTTCCCGGCGCCCTGAAGACCCGCTTCATATGGCGCAAGGGAAACTCCTTGCTGATGGCGCGGTCCATTCCCGACGTGGCCGAAAATGTCGAGGCTTCTAACAGCGTCTTCCATTTCGGTGTGGATGAGCAGTATCGATGCGACTCGAAGATGGAGATCGAGCGCGTCACATGGAGAGACGCCGGGCTGTATGAATGCTGGTTTCGCATTAATGATCGTCTTGATGAATGGATCGCTCAGGAAGCTTACCTGCACGTTATTTAGGCAGCGCGATGTTCAGCTCGCGGTTCGACAGTGTATGCATACGTCTCGGTCGCTCGGTGAATCTGGAACACTTCTGAGGACTGAGTGATCGAATTCGAGGATGTTATATTTTTATCGAGAATGTTATATTTGTGTTCAAGTTTGCCATGCCGAATATACTCGTATTACACTCGTACATGATTTACTGCAAGCAGAACGTTGCATTACTGTCATGAGCTCGCTCGCTCTGTCATGCGCGTTGTGTTAATGCAGCGCGCACTTTTCAGCACGGGGAATATCCGCCGCATAAACTGGCAGTTTTGTTACTAAAAATGAATGGACTATATTACCTACCAAGCCATCTCTCACAGAATGGTGTCAGAACTCAGATATTCTAAAACATTTATCGAACTTCCTGCATTTTGCTCGTGATGCACGCTTCAATCTACGCGGCATTCGCGGGAAAAGGGAAGTGGCAAAATAAAGTAAAGTCACCATGGGTTTTGCTCTTGGGCAAACGTTTTGCGCATGTAGCCGGCAGGAAGGTTGACGGAATGATGGTTGACGCTCAATGAAGGTCATCAACCTTTCTCTAAAGGTCATCAACCTTTCTGATCAACCTTTCTCTAAAGGTCATCAACCTTTCTGATCAACCTTTCTCTAAAGGTCATCAACCTTTCTGACAACCTTTTCTAAAGGTCATCAACCTTTCGGATCAACCTTTTCTAAAGGTCATCCACCTTTCTGATTTACCTTTTCTAAAGGTCATCAGACTTCTGCATGAGCTTTTTCACGTTTTTGCCGATCCTCCTAGCTGCCCAACACATTTATCGTTCTGCTCACTCTTGCGCACTGTATGTGTGTGTAAGCTCTCTTAACATTAACTTTTTGTTTCTTAGCATTTTTTTTTCGGTATCCACTGATTTAAAAATTGCATTTGGAGACATTGCGGCCATATGCTATCACTTTGCGCCCTATAATTATGCGTTCAGAGTAGCCGAAACCTTACTGCAGGGACTGTCTTTTGCTAAATTCTCAGTTACACTTACTGGAAAAATGCACCGATGGGTGCCACATAGGAGCGCAACACTTCAGACTTAAGACGAAAGGCGCAGATGGCTTTCTTTGGTTGTCACGTTCGCGCTATTTGTGCACTTTATCTGTAACCAGTTTCCGAACCTTTGTGCTTTAGGACAAGAACATTATGAACAGCACCGCGTTCTGCATGCAAATGGCGTCATTGCACTCCTAGTTTTACTGGGGGTTGTTATGGTAGTCCACCTGTCTGTCGAAAGCCATAATCCTTACTTTAAAGATCATCAACCATTCAGCAAAGTCATAAACTTTTTTAGAAAGGTCATCAATCTTTCTCTAAACGCCATCAACCTTTCTGCAAAGGTCATCAACCTTTCAGTAAAGGTCGTCAACCTTTCTGTAAAGGTCATCAACCTTTCTGTAAAGGTCATCAACCTTTCTGTAAAGGTGATCAACCTTTCCGTAAAGGTCATCCACCTTTCTGCCGGCGGTGTCCTTTGATGTTATTGTGCTCATTGTGTTGTAATTCATTGTGCGTCACAACTATTTCGCACTCGGTAAGACATCGACTATGTTTGTGCCTTGCGTCTGAATGTTTGATTATATATAAGCGATATGCTGATAAGCGATAGCGATGGAAGCAACTGTGACAGAAAATGTTTGCAATAGCGCAAAAGTTTAATGAGTGGATGCCGCCACCGGTTTGGCAGAAAGGTGGATGCTACCGTTCGCTTTTTGCACTTTGTCGTTTAACAAGGCAAACCGTTTTTTGCTAGTTTTTTAATTAAAATTTTGGGTTAAGGATGAGTAACTTCCAACCAATTAATCGTATATTGACCCACTGAAATTTTTACACCGCACAGAGAAATTAATGAAAAATGACAAGATCTTCCATATTTAACTTTTTGCAGGACCGTTAACGGGTCCTGGGACTACGCTCTGCGCGTTGTGTGCCAGTGTTAGACCGACTTACGCAATCGAACACGTGGGCTTAGTGCGATACAAAATACAAATCACTCGGTTACGCAGAATTAAAGCTTTTGTACATCCTGGCTTCGAAGCAGATCAGTGGATACCGCCGGTGGAAAGGTGATGACCTTACGAGAAAGGTTGACGGAAAGGTTGAGGACCTTTAGAGAAAGGTTGATGACCTTTGGAGAAAGGTTGATGACCTTTGGAGAAAGGTTGATGACCTTTGGAGAAAGGTTGATGACCTTTGCGGAATGGTTGATGACTTTCATTGAACATCCGTAACCGGCACGAAGGTGGACTTTAAGAGGGTGGACTTACAATGAAATCGCATCCACCAATCTGCCGGAGCGCGGTCATCCTTCTCCCAGTCCATGGTCGGCTTTAACTGATCTAACAATAACGCCATTATGTGCATGCAGACCCATTGTGAGATCAGAGCATGCCGTCACTGCTCTGGTAGAAAGGTGGACGCAGATATGTCTTACTGTCTATCGCTCAATCTGTACAGCTTATGCGCCATCTTGGTCGTTTTTTTATATCCCAGTGAACGAACTATTTATTTCGTAAATTTTAATTGAAAGTCAACCATCGACAGGTGCGAGAAGCAAATTATTTACTAGAAGCAAATTAGTCAGTATAAATTGTACAGGTAGAGCGGCAGACATATCTTCGTCCACCTTTCAGCCGGAGCATTTGCGGAATGCATTGATCTTACAATGGGTCTGAATGCTCACAATGGCGTTAATTTTAGATCAGTTTAATTTAGATTAGTTTAAAGCGATAATGATTTGGCAGCAAAGTGGACACAATTCTTCCTGGCTCCTGCAGGAAGGTGGAGGCGATTTCATGATCATCCACCATCCATCTTACTTGCGTTGTGGAAGGTTCTTGGCCGGGTTTGGAGCTGTGTTTCTTGCTTGCACTGTTCTGTGCTGTGCCGTCTCTGCATGAAAATTTGCCGTACAGAAAGGTTGATGACCTTTCGAGAAAGGTTGACGGAAAGGTTGATGGAAAGGTTGATGACCTTTAGAAAAAGGTTGATGACCTTCATTGAACATCAACCATCAACCCGTCAACCTTCCTGCCGGCTACATGCGCACACATCATGTCCGCAGACGTGCTGTGATATGGGCGGCGGTGTTATACCGTGGGATAGCATTGACGCTTAATGAGTCGTCGTAAAATTATAACAATTCCGATCTAATCCGCTCTACCAATAAATTAGTACATCTGCTTCCTTAATCCACACGATATCACGTTAATGCTGTCTGTCCCGTGCTAAATTATCACTGGTAATGGTTTGCCGAATTACTTAAGTGTATAAATCAACCATTCTGATTTCCCGGATTTGCCGCTAGCCATATATGCTACGAACGGCGCGTTTAATTAGACAAATACTGTTTCAGTACTTTAGTCATCAGAACAATTATCCCTTAAGGCTGCAAACAAATGCTTTTGAAGTCTCAATTTTTCCAGTCAGACCATCATATTAACCGAAGAATCCGTCTGGGGAAGGTGATGGTTTTTTTAAATTGCGGTGGACGTTTACTAGACAGTTGTTCTCATTATACACAAATTACTTCGTTTCTGTTATTTTTGGATGCTTCTCTGACAGAGAAACTAATATCAGTTTGTTATAGATGCTTTTTAACTGACAGACGAAAAACGCGCGCAATGTTATTGTTGGACGCGGTTAAAATTCTGGTCGTTGCGGCTGCTGCAGTAAAAGCAACCAAGAGACAGCCGTCATCCACAGTTTGCACGTCGGATCTCTGCCAGCTTATTGGTACGTATAAAAGCTGTAACTTGAAAACGGGAAAAAGAAACGCTGTTATTTTGGAAAGCAAGGCTCGGGAGCAGTTTCCTGCATTGCTGTGGTTTGCACTGAGTTTCCATTGGAATTTCTATCTCGACTGCTGTCGCTGTCAGACACTACGACTATTTAAGGCAGGCTTTCAGCCAATCGTTTGTGTTCTTTCTAGCCCGTGAAATCGTCTCCAGTATGGATGAAACCATCGACCCGTGCGTGGATTTCTTCGCTTACTCATGCAACCGCTGGAATAGCACCCACGGTCTGGTGCACAACGTGCTCATTCCCAAAATCTCCAAACAAATTCAAGGTATGAACGACAACGTGCCTGATGTTCACAAACCCTCAATGCTAGAATTTTTTCGCTTTCTGTATTTTGACTCATTCTGTGGTACTTATTTTTGCATTTTGCGTGATTGTTGTTGTTGGCTTTATTTAGAAATGCTCGCCAGTGGAAATTATACCAATCCCACCGAAAAAAAGGCAACTGGCATATACAACCAGTGCATAAACCAGACGAACGGTATTCAAAGTAACCTTTTAGTACACCTGCATTCGAAAGCGCGTTCGTACGGCGTAAGGTGCATATAATTTAGTAAAGGTCAAAGGGCAAGAGGGATCAGTTGCAGATGCAGCTTATGTGAATTGTGGTCGTCCACTTACAACATACGACGTATCTAAACTGCAACAGAATTGCACCAGAAGAAGTTTACTGCAACAGAAGTTTACTTTAAACTAACCTTTTTTCTTAAACCTGACAGTAACTTGTGCTAGTTGCAACATGTGCTTCCATGTCTTCTGCATTGCCATTAGCCCAGCATTAAATAAGAAACAGTAACATAATAATGATTTACACATGCTTCGAGAAACAACTTTCTGATGAGAAGACCAATGAATGTCTATATAATTTTGTCTGCTATTGTCAACAGAGCGGCCATTCGACGACGGCAATCTTTTGCGCACTATTGAAGACTTGTTAGGTGGATGGTCCCTATTAAAAGACCCTCGTAATGTGTCCGCTTTTCATCTGGAAGAAGCTCTAGTGCGTCTGCACCAAAACGGCATTTCGACCTTCAGCGGTCTGTCCGTACAAACAAACGAATTTTCTATCGAGGAAAATATCCTGCACTTCATGATGCCTGGTCGCCTTTTCAAGCGGTGGGAATTAGATACACTGGTCAACCCCAATAACAAGCGCCTTGCTCCCTTTGCATTTGCGGAATTATTGTACAAATGGGCGCCGGTCGTACAGCGTTTACTGAAAGCAGCCAATGCAAGTTTCCTGTGGTCTACTGTTAAAAACCGATTCGAGCAAGCCCTTCTGTTGGACTTTATGTTGGCGAAGGTGACAGCTGCGTTCCAGAATGATATCTCTCTATAAATTCTATTCATCCGAGGTCTTTTAGGCATGTACTGTTAGCGTCCTTGTCTGGAAGGCAGTTATTTATTTCCTCTGAAGGAACATTTTCAAAATATACTCGTGTTAAAATATTTTCTAAATGTTTAATTTCGGTTTGTTATCGCATTTCTGCACTAAAGTTTATTTTATTTTACGAGAGTTTTTGTTTTCACTCAGTTATATTTAGTCTTTTATTTTCCACCTTTCGATTGTTTTGGTTGCCGATTTACTTAAATTCATTCTTTCCTTCTTAGTTTTTGTTTTCTCGTAATTTTTAAAATCAATAATTTTTAGGGGCCAACAGGACCGGTGTATTATCGAGAGCGCCTAACCTTCGGTGATCTTTCTAGACCACCATTCCGCTCGCAGTTTCTATCAAGCTTTTTGCACCTGTTTAACGCGATGCTTAAAGCTTCTTCGATAAACTATCAAGCCACAACCGCTACGCAGCTTGCGGTTCCTGATCAGTTTGAATACCTCCTCAATCTAGATCAGACGATGGCTCAGCTGGAAGGCGACGGGGATGCGGGACTGACGACACTGGCTGATTGGTTGTGGTGGACCGCCGTCAATCACTACCACCTTATATATCGAGTAACGGACATCTGCGTGGGGCTGGTTAAAGCGGCCATGCCGTTGACCGTATCGGGAATGTTCTTTAAGACATATATACCAAAGAAAGCGGTTCAAAAGGTGGGTCGGCCAACTTCGCCTTTACCGTCTATTTCCCTTTGCCGTTTCAGTTTGCCGTTTTCAACTTTACCTTTTCCTTTGCCGGCGGAAAAGCCGTTGACATTCTAATTTGCCGTTTCAAAACGCCGTATTTAAAAGCCTTTTCCGTTTGGAGAACGAATTACTGTTAACACGTTGCCATTTTCGAACTTCTCTTGTGCTGTTTTTTCTTTATACTTTTTACTTTAGTGACTTAGTCTTCCCATTGTGGGAATCCCACATATGTCTTCTCCATACGAAGGCGTTATATTAATACATATAAACGTATAAAGAAAAACGTTTTGAAACGGCAAATTAGAATGCCAACGGCTTTTCCGCCGGCATAGGTAAAGTTGAAAACGGCAAACTGAAACGGCAAAGGCGAAGTTGGTCGACCCCAAAAGGGGGTCTTGAGAACAGAATTTAATCACGAAACAGAAAACCTCAAGAACTACTGCATGCAAAAATACATAAAACCCAATAAAAACGATTAAAAACAATAGCGACTACATATTTTCAGGCAAAAGTGCTGGCATCTGAAATTGCCAACGCAGTTCGCGATGCAGTCCTTCTCAAGACGCCCTGGATGGACCAGACAACGAAGGAAGCGGCCATGGACAGGCTGAATGATACACTACTGAACGTTGGTTTTCCCGAGGAGTTGGTGGAGAATTGGACGCTCTTGGATAACTACTACACAAGGGCTAGTCAACCATGGCGCATCGCCTTTCATAGAAAAAGAAATTTTAAAAGCGGGAGTTGTACAATAAAGTAAAACAGGATGGGGCAAGAAAGGTTTTCTTTTGAGACAAGCTCTAAAGTGTGGACACAGTTACTGATAAATAGAGTGAAAAAAATCGTTTCAAATTCGTATGAAGTACACCGGCACGTAATTTCACTGTATGCAGTGTCTACAAGTACAATTACCATGAAATGCACTGAAGCGAATGCCATTATGTTTGCAGATTCAAGTGGAAATGTCATTCTTCGACACACTGCGCACCATCGGTCAAAGCAACAGCTGGATCAACCTGCAAAGACTCTCTCGCACAAACGCCCGCAACGATCCGTTCTTTCCGGCCGATAGGACCTTGGTAACCCTCGAAACCTACACTCAAAACCGTTATATTGGTATGTTGCTAGCTCGTTAATTCCCAGCGTTATTTTTGGAATCCTTATTCTTTATGTATACGGTTACCTTCGGTCGTAAGAAGTAGGCTTAGAAAGCTGTTGACAGATTTGTCGCATTAATTTGTTATCAGTTACTATAGTGCTTCTGAACAATATTTTTACCTTTAAATTTCTACTTCTCATTTCGTTTCGTACTTCTCATTTAATATTATTCGTTTCTGCTGAGTGCGTCGAAAGTTAAGTGACAAGCATTTGATAATTAGATGAGACCATAATTTTGTCGGCGTTGCAGTTATTCCGGCGGCCGTAGTACAGACACCAATGTTTTACGCAAGCGACATGGACATTTTGGACTACGCTCGCATGGGTTTTCTCATTGGCCACGAATTCACCCATATTATCGATATCGAAGGCATGTTTCGATTTCTTAAAAGAGAAATACTGTTCTGTTCTAGTGGGTTAATAATTAAAAATTTTGTGCATAGTGAAAGAACTTGGGAACGACGGCAAACCTCTTAAGTGGTGGACCGATACGACGCAGAACAATTATAACGCGAGAAACTACACTTTGGTGGATTTCTACAACAGTATTAGCACGAAGAACGTCAGTGTCGATGGACGGCAAACTCTCATCGAGAACACTGCCGACAACGGCGGATTCCAGGCTGCTTTTTTGGTTAGTAATTTGAAGAATTTAAATTCTCGTCACAAAATGCACAAAGAATGATACTTCTGCAGGCTTTTCGTAATTTTATGCGTCGCACTGGATACCGCATAACGCTACCCGGGTTAGAAACCATGGATGAGAAGCAGCTGTTCTGGTTAACTGGAGCTCAGGTGGTATTTGTTAGAAAATTAGAAAACTGGTTAGAAAATTGCGCAACCATGTTTTTCAGGCATGGTGCATCCGTCCACCAGGATTAGTCGACGAAACTCACTCACCGTTTCGATTTCGTGTAATGGGACCGTACATAAACAGCCCAGATTTCGGGGCGTCTTACAACTGTCCTCTGGGATCCCCGATGAGCCCAGGGATTAAAGCGTGTTAGAGACAGGTTTAACTTTTAATTGAGGAAGTATCTGTGCATGGTGGTGTAGTGATTGAAAAATGTTGCACATATCAACTTGAAGGTACTAACAGTGGTGAAACCAACTAGTTACACAGTAACTGAACATCAAGCAGGTAGCGATACCGGAATCATAAAACTTAGCCGCATTTACCTTTAGCTCGTTACTTACTCCATATTGTAACATAGAAATTTTAGTAGTGCGACTTTATTAGTTCTGTGACCAAATGACGTAGTTTGCTATGAATTCCTGCCAACTTGAAAAAACAAACAAATTTGAGCAGTTCATTGGGCCCTTAGGGTACCGTATTAGATACATATGCAATATACGTATATTATACCTTTCCCTACTACCACACAAACCTGCAACCATTTCCTGCCTGGTACACACTACACAGTTATTTCGCTTTAGTTGTGTTTCGTGCCGTATGACTTTTGCAAAGTCAGCGGTTGCCCCCGGTCTGCTTTAATTTGTTAATTCTGTAAATAAGTGTTTGGCTACAATAAAAAATCCGTAATTTATGCGGCTCCTGTGGATTTGACGTCACGAGTTACATGTGGTGTGAGTATACCACAACGAAGGTGCATGAATGCATCGGTATCTAACACTACCCTTTTTTTGCCGCAGTGACCCGCCATTCCGTCGGTAGAAAGTAGATACTCGTCGGTCGTCAACGAGTCGAACAGTCACGATATCGACCCGTATGCGTTTTGCTGTGCCGATGTAGTTAATTTAAGCATCTTGGATTTCTTAGTTGTTCCTTTGTTTTTCTTGGCCACTGCCCTCATGATGATCGACATCGCGAGATTGACCTTATAAGGGTCAACGCAGTGTTAGCCCCTGCCGCATCCGGACAGCTGGAAGTAACGGCAGCCAATTTCTTCGTTTCACGGGTTTTAGCAGGACGATACGTAACACAGGTTACTTACCTATCAATCCGGAATAAATTGTTATTAAGCCCGAAGTTTATATCACGGCATCTTACATTACGAAAGGCATTTGAAAACGGACATGTTGAATTGCCTGCGTTACACGTTGCGTTACACGGAACGTATTGGATAGAAATCAATCGGCTCCGGTAAGTTAACATTTTTTCTTACATTGTTGCTACAAAGTCAGATAAAACCACCTTCAAAAAAACAGCCCCGCAGTTTTTCTAGGATGACAAGCTCAAGCCGGATAATATGGAAAATGCCTAACTGAATATTGACCATAGCCATAGCCAAGGTTTCTCTTTATGAAGAACCTATCATATTCTCTGCCATCATGGGTTAATATCTCAATGCCAAACTTCAAGCGACGTTTACTGTTTTTTACAAAATCTGGCCACAGGACGGCTGCACAGCACGCTCTGCATCCTTCAAGAATTCCAGTATTTCGGCAGCTGAACTTCTAGCATCTTTTACGCTGACTAAGCAGCGCCGAATGCATTCATGCAGAGTTTCCGGAATAGAACCATCAAGGTACGGAACAAAGCCGTCTTCGACAATCAGCTGAATAAACTGAAAGTCTGATACTTCTTTTCCGGCTTCGATTATTTGAGACTCTTTGTATAGCCTCTTCTTCTCTACCTTCGCAACACAATTTGCCAAATCCAGTATCACGCAGCCGTAGCTCCAAATGTCAGACTTGCGTCCCGGGGATTCGCTTGCTTTTTGTGCGATAAATTTCTTAAGAATCTCCGGAGCCATGTAGCGGACAGTACCGCGAACATGAGACAGTTCGTCAGAAAAAGTCATGAAGCGTCGTAATTGCACACTGTCATCCAGATCACCAATCAGCATCTCGCATTTTCTCCCGCTGGACCGTACCAGGATGTTTGCAGGCTTCAAATCTCCATGTATGAGTTTATTGAAATGCAGAAAGTTCAATCCGTCAGCGATTTCCGTTGCATAACGCACGGCTGTTGGATTGTCCAACAGCATATCCTTCCTCACAGCAAGATAATGCCGCGATAATAAAAGTGAAAGATCCCCAGCTGCAAATCGAAATAGTCGTTTTGGTTGATATTATTGAAGAAGTTTCTTAGGTTTTGCTTAGTTGCCGTTATACCCAGATTTTCTGGTCCGAAAGCTTTTTCTAAGGGCTTACAGAAGAAGCAGCCGCCAAAAAAATTTCCCACCAGTCATATAAAAATTAATATTATTTCTTGCTGTACAAATAAATACATATTGTAAATTATATCAAGTACTTACTATAGTGTGAGGAGTACTGGTAACCAACCGTTTGACGTCATCACTCTCGCATACACGGGAGGGCGGCTGCCATGGTGACAGATGCGCGTTTTTCACGGTTTTTGCCAGTTTTCTCAGCCGATTTCTCTTCTCTTCTACTTTAGCCCCCGAAATAAAGGTTCCTATGTTCAATATGATCTTTTAAAAATATCAGAAAGCTTTCGATGAGAAAGGAACTTCAGAATATCTATTAAAAGGGTCAACAAAGTCTGTGGGCTATGGAAAGCATTAGCACAGCAGTGCTTTGACACTGCTTTCTGTATGCGACAGTGATGACGTAGTCGACAGTCCTTCTAGCTATAGTAAGTTCCTGATTATATCTGTAGAAGCTGATTTCAGAGACAAATACGCAAGCGGGTAATAGACAAAGGATGTTGATGAAAGGAAATTTTTTATTCATCTGCTGACTTAAGGTAGCTGCTACTGCTGAGGAAGGCGCGCAACAAAGAGACTGGAAACGCAGTTGAGTATTTCTAAGACACTGTCAAATGGCGAAAACGTTTGAACTGCGGCTATCGTCCTCGTCTAACACTTACCACAGTAATCCATCACAATTTCAATGCGTGCACCACAGCTAGCCGTGATTACGTTGACCGCGTGGTATTTTATAACATGGGGGTGGACAAGTTCCAAGACTGTTTGGAGCCGTCGGCACCAGGTATTCCACTTTTCAGTGTTATTAACCAGGTCTGCATCGTTATGCATCGGCATGACTTTCACAGCGACACGTGTTTCTGATGCGCCGATGGTTGCAGTTGCTGCAAACACTGCGCCAAATGTACCCGCTCCCCGATAACCGCTGTTGTTGTAGCTATAGCGGCACGTACTGCCGAATAGGACAATCTCCTGTGACGCAGTCTGGACGTTGGTGAGTGAAACCTGATCGGGTGACTGCAGAATGTCCGTGATTTGGCTTTGCATCAAGTAGTGTTTAACTTTGCCCTAAAGGTCACTTTCTATCACCATTAACACAAATGAGCGTCACATATTCATGCTTACCAAAAGGTGGGCATAATGCGCTAAAAAAGGGTGTTCGCAAATTTCCTGGTAAACGTCAACAGTTCCTTTGCCGAGATCGATCAGCATTTCGTAGACACTGCGCAGAGCAACGGTATCGACCGCGACTCGTCGTTGGTTATCCAACATACCCAATCGCACTCTTTCACGGACGCCTTCATGGTAAACGATAGTATCTCGAAAAATCCGAATACCCAAATTTTCGGTGCTGTCCAAGTCATTAAGTCCGACAAAAACTTTGTCCTGTACGAATTCAGTAGCAAACGGCTCGAGTACGTTTTTTATTTAGGCTAGCGTACTGAACTTACCATATACAGCGTAGTAAGTTTGATGAGGGATAAACCTGTTTTAAAATTGTTCCACGTCGCACTTAAAACAGCAAGAAACTCGTCTTCGGAAGGCTGAGTAACATCTTTGCGAACCTGATCACATAAACAGGTTGGCTGCATGCGCCAGAGTGAATAAATTTGAGGTTTTAATAAAGAACGCGATCAACACTGGTTCATTATCCTTTTCATGAACAGTAACGTTTAAGTACCAAGCACAAGTACGTTCATGTAAAAGAACACTTCTTCATCACTTTTAGGTATGTGCATTCGTTCACCGGGTGACATTGCGCACGTAAGTAGCTAATACTGCCCAGACTACGTAACAATAATTTGAGTCATTTCGGCTTTCGGGTTACCGTGAACTCGGCTTGTACAGAGGTACCTTGCATTCCACGTTAAACTTATGCTAAGCTAACGTGCGTCAATTTGCGAATTATTGCATGGTTTCCCTTAGTCCACAACTCCGAATGACAAATTTTGCCTTAGAACTACTTGTCTTAGAATTTAGATAAAGCTTAAATCAAATTAGTTGATGCTGTACACACCTGTGTGAGGTAGTCAACAACGGGCCCCTCCAAAAGTTCGAACAGTTCTGCACCGTGCTTGAGTACAACAATTGCGTAGGTAAAATATAACAGGTCCTCATAACGTCGCCCGTTGGTTTTGTGGGTCATCGACACTTGCCTGGTCTCCTTAGTCCACAGCGCATTTGATAACTGTGCACTTGATAACTGCAAAATGTAGAATTAAACTGGGAGGTTCGTCACGAAAATTATAAAACGTACTCCAATTTTCTCCTCTGAAGCCTGCAACCTGCAATTCTCTACTTTGAAAATTGTTCATACAAACTCAGGTACTCAGAAATAGGTATATTCGTTGAAGTGATTAAAGTACAGACGCTCTATTACCGACTTAATGTAAATTCTTGAAGAAAGTCTTCTGACAAAGTGCAAGCCGTCAATGAATACCTGTTACGCAGTTGTAATAACTGACTTTTTATTGCAAAATAATTCTCACGGATTCTATTCTTACCGATGGTAGCTCGTTTATCCGCAGATGTTCCCATGGTTGCAATAAGTTTTCGGGACGTCTTCGTGGTGTTGAACGGTTTAGGCATTCAGGGCCATCGCGAGCTCGCAGAGATTGGGAAGCGCCCTTCCTCTCATCAGGTTCGTCAGTGCTGACGGTAGGCTTGCGTCTGCTGAGCCAGCTCAAAAACTGTTGCTAATTTTTTCGTTAACCACTTTAAACTTTCACTACAACTACCAGGTTGTTAACTAGCCGTATTTCCGTAATTAAGCTATCTAAATACATAGCATCAGGTTTTTTACCCAGCAATACTAAATATAGTGTGGTCTAATTAAATCTAGTCTTTCAGCTTAGACATTTATAGTAAATTTACACGTTTATGAGTTGATTACAAAGAAATGTGAGTGCTTTGCTCAACCAGATGTTCCTTTCGTGCTCATTGCGCTGGTAGGTTTTGCAAATTGTTCACAGGCACTAATTACTATAGTAATATCAAGAAGAAAAAAGTAGTACGGACTTTAAAACAGGTCGTAGTACAGTAGTGTTATTCTGCTCACGCTAGCCGACTGAGCGATGGTACCTCGTATCAGCTGCGAAAACACGCTTGCTTGTGTCGCTGCGTTCAAAGTGCAGCCTAAAACTGGATACTGACTGCGCCAGTTTGCATACGTACGACCACCACTTAAATGTATTCGTGCTTTCCACACGTTTTTTCCACAAAATCAGCTACAGTAACTTAAAAGCAGTAGACGGCTGAATGGCACACTGCTTACCCTTCCTTGTTAGTCGGCTTGTTGAACGTAATAATTATTACCATTTTGACATAACATTGTTATGCTCATCGTCCTAATGGTAGACGCAGCCATCTTCTAAAACGTATCGTTAATAACTCGATCCGTAAGCACCGACAGTCACTCTGTTGTAAAAATCAAAGCTGCAGTGACGGGGTTTTTAATTTAATGTTTTACAGAAACGTTTTAATGTCTCGAAATAACAAGATTCGACGAAAATCATGCTAAATCTTATTATTATCTTTGACAGCAAAATTTTTACGTCTACAGTTTTGCATCAACAATCATACCAAGGAAAGCTTTCACTGCGCAGAAGTTATGATTGTAATCTTAGTCGGCACTCGGCAGTATATACGTAGATGATTTGACGCTTCGGTTTTAAAGATGTTAAAGACAGGTACCGTAGGTCGGAATGTTTTGCTTCCAGCTTTCACTCACCGCGTTTTATGAACTAGAAAAGTCTGACATGACCAAGCCGTTTTCTCTGTTTTACAAGTTGTACCAAATTGATGATAGCCTATAAAATTCAAAATGAGCGTCATATCCCGTGAAGTGCAAGGCTGATGATCCGTTGAACCTTTTCCACGATTTTCATTGCCGAGGTACTCATGCGTCATTCCGGAGCACAAGCCACCTCTGCACAAAAGAAAAACATGGGAAGCATCTTCGAAACTCGTGTTAAAAGAAAGTGTGCAAACTGATACGTACCTGTTTGCAGAAAGGTTATTAGCTCTTTCGCAGAATTTCTCTCACTGACTCCCGTGCGCAAGCAGCGACGAATACATTCGGCCAGAGCTGCTGGAGCACTATCATCCACATATGGAAGAAGCCCTTCTCGACAACCAACTGAATGAAGATGAAATCCTGGCGCCCTACCCCGACTTCTTTTCGCTCCTCTTCTTTATAAAGCAACTTTGTATGTTTTCCGATAACGCAATTTACCAAATCCAAGACAACGCATCCAAAACTCCAGATATCCGATTTCCGTCCAGGTTTATCCACCTGATTTGCTTGTCCAGTTAACTGCTCAAGGATTTCCGGAGCCGTATAGCGGATTGTGACCCCGAACGTTTCCAATGTCACCGGCGCTGGTTAAGCAGCGTCGTAGTTGTACGCTGCCGTCAGGATCACCGATAAGTAGTCGATACTGAATTCCGATCCGTTGCAACAAGATATTTCCGAGCTTTAGATCGCCATGCATGATGTCATTATAATGGAGAAAATGTAATCCGGAAGCAATGTCGGTTACGTAGTGCAAGGCTGTAGAATAATTAAGTAGAGTGTTCTTTTCCTTGTGGTGTTATAAAAGGCGCGCGAGATCCCCAACTAAAAATTAAAAATTACAGTTCTTGTTGAGCGCGGTTTCACAAAAAGACAGGACAATTCAAAAATCCTTCGGCTAACGAGTACTGAAATCAGCAGCATAACGGTCAGCAAATTGTTAAGTGTCACAGGGTAGCTCAAGGTACAGTGTTACTGTGCTATCTTGCAGCGTGTGCAATCATTTCTCATCAAGCAAGCTTAATGCAGCTTCGTGCTTAGACTGCGGTCTGACAAACACAAACTACACATATTTAAGATTCCAGAAAACCAAAGTATCACGCGCCTGAACTTAACCGCAGTAATCCATGCGAATTTCTATACGCGATGCTTTCCCTGCCGCGATTATAACGAAAACCTTATGGCACGCCAGAAGAAGGGGATGCTTCAGTTTCAGAACTTGTCAAGTCTTTGCCACCAGCTATTCCATTTTCCAGGACACTGCATCAAGTCTGCATTATTGTCCATGGGCTACCGGGGCTGGACCTTCACAATTAACCGCTGCCTGCCATACGTGGCATTGCCACTGTCAGTTATGATTGCTTCGTATACAGTTCCAAAACTTCCTGCTCCGAGGTAATCGTCATTTGTGTAGAGGTATTGGCACTTACTACCGAATAAAACAGTCTCCTGTGGTCTGCACGCTCTAACCTGTCCCATAGATACCAGTGGCATCGACGAATGCATGAAATCAAACTCGATTCTCTGCGTTGAGATACAGCTTCGGACGTGCACCTAGAAACATACAAAACGCTTCTAGTGTTTCTCAAAACATCTTTTGGAAGAATTTTTCCAGAATGGTTTAGCGGTTCGCGGTTGACCCATGACGCACCAAAAGCCGGGCGTAGAGTACCAGTAGATCCGCATTTTCGCAAACAGCGTCGTAAACTTGAGGTGTTCCTTCACCCAGATCCATGAGCATTTCGTATGCGTCCCGGAGTATATCATCATTAATTAGTATTGCGAGATATTCGTCGTTTTCGCTCGCTCTTGTAGTAGGTCTGCCACGCACTTGCTTATGAATTACACTGGTCTCCGCATCCAGTAGCGTGCCGAATCGCGTTTCGGTCCTCATGATGGTACGTAGCTTGTTACGGACTGCTTCGTGGCTCATAATCTGATTTCTGAACAACATCCTAACGCAATGGAAAAGTTGCCGGATTTGTTCTTTGGTATGATTGGCGTCCTGTGTTTACAAGACCGTACTTTACGGGAAAATGTCAACGGTGCTTATATTAGACTCATTTTACGTACCCCGATTTTGATAAGCCTTCCCACATGTCTTGCGCAAAGGTAAAACCACATCCAGTGCATGCTCAAACTATCAAGGAAATTTGTATATGAGGTCTGCGGAAGGTGATCGCAAACCTGAAGCGGAGTAGACATAAAATTTTACAATATTAAATTGATTTAGAGCCCACGCTCATTCGGCATATAATAATCGTCCTACATAAGCGAAAATAACATAAACCAAGTGTAATCATGAGATTCACAACGACTACAGCAAGTTTCTTAATTTTTGCTCTTCACATTACGTGATAGCTGCGTTAAGCTAAATTTGACAGTTACCGCACCAAGCCGAGCAATGAGTGCAACCGACATTTTTATCTTTAACTAAAATTCTGATTCAGATACCAGGTAATTGTCAAAAGTTTAAATAGTGGCGAAGGACCATCATCTGCTGTCTCCCTTGGCGTGAATGATCGTCTACACTGTCACTAAAGCACTGTATCCAAAACTGCATGTTTTCTTCCGATAAATGATAAGAGCTGTCCTCTACTCGAAAATTGATGGCCCGCGCTCGGTATATCCGTGGTCCGGAAGGCGGAAGCTGCTTCAAAATTGGAAATTCTATGGGCAGCAGCTCCATCGGCATTCTGTATCGGCGATCCATTAATGCGAACATTGCGGACTGTTTTCATTCATAGTTGTCGAATGTAGCAATTTAAACTGTTTCTAAAATCTGTGTTGAAAAGGAATGTGAACTGTCTGATATCGGCATATCGCACTTGGAAGCACCTTTGAAACTGCATTTATTAACTGCGTGTATTTAGTACGCTTGTGCTTACTTCATGTGAAAACAATACAATTAACAAAACACGAAAAGGGCATGGTACAATCCTTTTAATTATCTTTCTTCTTTCTTATTGATCGGCAATTTAATAAGAGCGCTGTATGTGTGGACAACCGTGATCTTTGAGAAATCAGCTTTTATCTGAAAAAAGTGATGTCTTTGGAAATCTAAAATCCACTTGACCTTCATTACACGAGCAAGAAAACTTATTTCGGTAGTTTTTAATGGAATGCAGTTATAATATATCGACCAATATTTCTGTAAGATGATAAGTTAACCAGGTGTAACATGATAATGACACCAGGTGTGCGTTACTGAACATCCCTTCGGTATTAACGAAACGATATCCCCTTCGTTTCGTTAGTAACGAAGGGGAAATGGTTTTGGTAATACAGACGTGTGCTGCCGTTTAAACGTTCGTTAATTGTAACCCCGTCGTTAATTCCTACGTCAGTCGCTGCCTTCTTGCAAAAACGCAACCTGCTTATTGTCTGCGATGAACTACGCGTTACCATGCCGGATAAGCGGCAGCACGGGCAAGTTCTCGGCGAAGGTATTGTGCGCGACATTAATGAAATGCTGATTGATATTGAAACGGGACACCGTGTTTGTACGACGCAGTTCTTGGAGATCGTAATTCACCGTTGCTTTATAACCGCAACTTGATTCTTGCAATAACATTCTTACAACAATAACCGTGATTCTTACAACAATAACGGTGATTGCAAGCGTTAAATTCATTGACTCGATTTGATAACGATATAATTATTAATTGTATCAATTTTAAAGTTCAAGATCTCGGTCCGCGAGACTGGTTGTGACTGAATCTGCTGATAGCGAAGTCTGTTTAAAGATAAGCACCATTTCTCAACTGATAGTATGAATGCACGCAATACAGCAAGCTATCAAGCAGGCATTGGCATAAAAACTTCTGTCATTTCGAAAAGATTAAGTAGATGCTAGTTTATGTGCTATGGTGGTGCCTTAAACATGTTCACTTATGTGATTTATTAATCCTGTAGAGTCCATCGTTAGGTATTAAGTATTAAGAGAAACCATTCACAGCGAAAATGACAAGGACTGTTTTGATTTTACTGGTGCTTTCTGCCGCATGGACAACATCGATTCGGTGCCGGAGTTTACCACCAAGTGCACAAAATTTGATAGGCCACCAACCCGTTCGCAACCACTCACAACTTTTCGATCGGTTCCCAAGCCCTATCCCGGTCCCGCAACCCAGTTATGGTTATGTCGATGGTTCTGTGGACGATACGCAAATCGATAGGACAGGTAATCACTAAACCCACCTACACGATTTGACTTGCGTCTGACTCTTCGGCCGTTTCACCGAAAAACCGTCTGGTTTAAAACGAAATAGCTTAAGCCCTAACGGATCTTTGATGTCGACCTGAACACAGTGGTATGACAATTGAAACCCAAACGGTCAGTGAATTCTGCGTCGATTACCAAACACCTTTCCGAGGAGTGTTTCGATCGTACGGCTAAAGACCAAAGCTTGTCAAACCGTCCAAAAATATTGTCCAGACAACGATCGAATTATGGTTACGATGTCCGAGTACTGAGAAAACGTTAATACGAAATTGTATGAGACGGTAAGTTTTTAAGAGGACTGGGATTTAGAGGTTTTGGTGTCACGGCGGTTTTTCGTGTTTAACGGACAAGGTGTCCGGTGACCGGTGGCGATGCGCAACTGCAAAGTTTTCACTTATTACAGAGATAGTCCTGATCTCCCTTGGATGTTGCGCCTTCTTGATTAGTATTATAATCACACTGACTATCTGCTGTTGCATAAACGATAAGAGCAGCACGAGGAAAATTTCCTGTCTAGAAAGACGAAGTTCTCCACCGAGCATTAGTCTTTCACCCACAATGGACTCCAGGTACACTTAAACAACCAAAGAGTACATGCTTATAAAAGTTACTAGTATAGGTCTCAGCAGCCCTAAGGGCAAGCAAGCAAGCCATATGTAGACATTTTTCGACACTAATACACAGACAGCACCAAGGACGGCTCCCATAGTACAGCTGCGCAGCTCAAACACCTATCGGTAGTATATTATTTTATTTAATGATCGGCAACTAAACAATAGACATGACACACAAAGCAACGTGCAGCAATTACAGGATTATTAATTTTTAAACCCAATAACAGCGTATGATTATTCCTACCGACATTTTAGTGTAGTTTTAGTGTTGATGCAAGTAATGACTCGTCTCAAAATTATTTTTTATGAGTAATTATTTCCCGTGGTACATAATAATATTGTCACAACGTTTATCTGTAATACAAACTCAAGCCTGTTATTTTGTGCGAAATTCTGTTATTGCATCGATATGTTGTAGGTATACCGCCAGCATTAGGTAAATTACTAAATTTCTGTTTTATTCGAAAATTAATTTTTATCAATAAACATGAATATCTATTTTTTCTTAGTCTTTAGTTTCAGTTGTTCTCAATAAAACAAATTCACCAGAATATATTACAGGTGATTAAGAATCAAGATGCCACCCCAATTGTGTAAGCACCGTATAAAAGAGATATTTCTTATTTACCGTGGTGGAGGAATGCTAAAGGTGGAGAGAAGATTTGTAAAACTGCTAAAGATAATGTAGAATGTAGAAAGATGCAAATATCCTCATTATCATTTAATCAAACGATCGTGATCGTAATAATTGAAAATAGTTAGAATATCTAGAAATATTCATAAATATTTGCAAAAATAAGTAGACATATTACGAAATATTTATAATTTATTAAAAATATTACGAAATAAATTTAGACATATTCTAAAAAATTTAAAAATATTTAGAAAAATATATAAAAATTTTTAGAACTATTTTGCAATATCTAAAACATTGTAAAATATCTTTAGACATATTTTTGGAAACATTTTTACAAATTTTTTAAGAATTATTTTTAGAAATATTTTTAGAAATGTATCTAGAACCATAAATGAAAATATTATAAATCTTTAGAAATATACTACGAAATATTTAGAAACATTTAAACGAATTCATGAATATTTAAAAGTATCTGGATATTACATAATTTATTAAAAAATATTCAAAAGCATTTGGAATATTTAAGAGTTCTTAGAAATCAATTTTAAAAAATTAATAGATATATCGAAAATATTTGAAAATTTTTATAAGAATAAATAAAAATATTTTAGAAGAATTTAGCAGTATTTAAAAATATGTGCAAAGAGTTTTGAATATTGTTAAAAATATTTTTGAGAAGCATTTCGAATTATATATATAAATATTAGAAAACTGTATAAATATTTAGAACCATTAAAAGGAGTTCGCAATGTTTAGAAATATTCAGAAACATTAAGAAATATTTTTATAATAGCATTTTTTGGAAAGACTTAATATGAATAAAAATATTAGAAATACTTTAAAACATTTAAAAGAAGTCAGCAATATTTAGAAATATTCTTAAATAGTAAAACAAATTATTTAAAATTTTAATAAGCATTTAGAAATATTTAAAGATATTTATAAGTAAATTAAAAATTTTTATGAATTTATTTGAAATAATTAGAAATACTTACAAAAATATTTAAAAATATTTAGGAGAATTTAGCAATACTAAGGAATATGCAGAAATATTATAAACCTTTTTATAATTAGTTCTAAGATTCACTTAGAAACATACATAGAAATATTAGAAATCTGTGTATATATTAGAATCATTAACAGAATTTAGCAATTTTTAGACATATTCAGAAGTATTTAGAAATATTTTTACTAATATTTAGAATATTTTCGGAAATATTTTTAGAAGTATTTAGAAATATTTTTAGCAAAATTTCCAAGAATGGGGAATAATTAGGAAGACCCACAAATTTTGAAAATATTTCCATAACCACATAACCGATTTAACTTATTTAATTTGTTTGAATATTTAAAATATTCAATAACATTTCGAAATATTTTAGGAAATATTCAAAAGAATGGGAGGACTTAAAAATATTTACCTTAATATCGTAATTTTATTATTAATTTAAATGATTTATTCCTTTGAATATTTAATATATTCGAAATATTCGGAAATATCTAGAAATATATCCTGAACTAATATGGAGCAACATTAACGTTGTTTGTGTAAATGGTAATTACTATATGCATATGTAAATGGTAATTACTATATATGTCTATCTCACAAAAAATATTTTATACTCGTCTTCAAGTACTAATCATACTTTATGTTTATGATGAACTCAAAACGAAGTTTGCATCTTTTAATGTACTCATATGCAATACAAACTTGTGATGTACTAGTACTACAGATTCTTGATACTTCCTTAATGTTGCTTTAATAAAATACATGTACTGCGGCGGCCCCCACCCCAAATTATCATGGCGCCCCTGGGGGCAGTTTCCTTTTATAAAATACACCCCAGTATAACGTACGAAACTGATGGAACCGTGCCTGTATTTTATAGAGAGGTTTTACTGTATTTTAAAATACTTAACATAATTAATTAGCAATTTCTAAAAATATCAGAAATTTTAGAGTTTTTAAATATTATTTTTAAATATATTTAAAGAAATTCTTAGAAATACTTTCAAATGTTTAGAAAAATATTTTGAAATATTGACAAATAATTATCAAGATTTAAAAATATTTTATTTGTTTTCAAATTTTTTAAGATTTTGGTTGTTCTTAAAATACTCGCCGCATTAAACTGCACAATAAAAAGCCAAAATCCCGGTGGCGACCTCGGGGATCCCGAGACCTCAAACCCGGGTACTTTGGTTAGAATCGCCACATTAAACTGTACCAGAAAAGTGCAAAATCCCGGTGGCGACCTCTGGGGCCTAAGCGACCTCGAACCCGGGTTCTTGGGTTCCTCGATGCCATTCGGCTCAGCGTGTCGAGTTGTGTAGGTCAGCAGCAAAAACTCAAGGGCGAACCCAGGGACCCGGGTTCGAGGTCTCCGTGTTATAGAGAACCTCAAATCCTACGTATAGAACACAAGCTCGCTTCGCTCGCTTGCTTGATTAGTTACTATAGCTTTTTGTCATTGCAGAAGAGTAGACAGCTTTTGCAGAAGGGAAATCAGTTTCGACCCAGGATCGTACAGGTAATTCAGCTTTGAAAATTTATCTCGGTTAATTTGTTTCCGCCAGGGCAGGTTACACCGCTGTCTAGCCCAGCCTTTGTCGTCATACTGCTGGCCAACCCACACTCTGTGCTAAACGTCGTGCAATTTAGGTGCAAAGATACACACGACTCCGGGCCCGTGCTCAAGCTCGGACTTGGACTTGGACTAATAAAACTTGGACTCGGACCACACTCGGACATCTTAATTTGGACTTTTAGAACTTGGATTTCTAAACTGGGACTTGGACTCTTCAAGTTAGACTTTTTTCCAGGATTCTTAGGTTTCTTAAATTTCTTAGTTTTCTTAGGTTTCTTAGGCTCACCAGTTTTTTTCTCAAAAGAAGTCCAAGTTTGAAGTCCAAGTTTAAAAGTCAGGTCCAAGTTAGGAAGTCCAAGTCCGAAGTATGAAGTCCAAGTGTGGTCCAAGTCCAAGTTTAGTAGCCAAGTCCGAGCTTGAGCGCGGGCCCCCACTCTGTGGTGCAACTTGTGCGGACAGCTACAGTTCGCCAAAAAAAGCTTGCGAGTAGGCATAGGTAGAAGCCGTCGAAGTCATGAAAGAAAACAAAATTTGTGATATAACCAATGTTTATTATTGATATACACAAAATATATATAAAATTTTATATATAAGAAAGGTCAATATTACGCGTGGCCTCCCCACAGTCTGGAGATCTCTCTAACCAAAAACCTTCAGAAAGCTCTGATACCACAGTTAGATCGGCCGTATCCAGAACTGCGTCACATGACATTGTGTTTGAATACGCCCAATCAGAATCTTGCCGGCGGTGACTGAAGACAATTTAGAAAATAAGAACGTTAATTGCTGTTAATGCTAGCTGGAGGATGTGTGCTCCGCATTTTCCTTTTGCGACAGTTTGCTGGCCGCCATAGTGCTGTTTGCCACAACTGGCTATCGAAAAATTACGTACTAACTGTTTGCCTTTTCCACAATTTTGCTGCCTAACTTCTTGCGAAAACCATTTCGTTGACCGACAGCTTACTTATCGACCAGATTCCTAGGTTTTTTTAAGCTTTTCCATTGTTCTTCTTGGGTTTTCAGGATTTTCAGATTGCAATGGGTATGCTACAGTTCTTAAGGCTCTTATGATTCTTATTCTCTTATGCTGGATTTCTCAACTTGGATAGTACTTTTCTTAGGTTTTCTTAGATCTTTTTAGCGCGTTTCGACAAGTTTCTGTTGGTCATGCAATTTAGCGGGTGTCGTCAACGACATGTCAATTTCAGCAAGCAGTCGTTAAGCAATCTCTCGATCATCGAGTTATCGTTTCAAAAATGTGGAGTAAAAATATGCAGTTCAGCAAAAGGTCGTCATCAAGTTTGCGGTCAGCGAGATAGCCGTCTGTGAAATGTCGGTGTGGCCAGTGAGCATAGGTCAGCAAGAAGCCAGCCGACCGGGGTCGGCGAAAGAGAGTGACCGTGCCACGCGCACCTGAACACCTTCTTGGAGGAATGCAAAATGCCACCTACAGAAAAGGAAAGGTGTTGCGGGCGGGGAAGTCTAAAGTCACGAATCGGGGAAGTGCAATGACAAGAGCAGGCTCTAAGGAGGCTTCAATGGGGCACACAAGAACAATGAGCAAAAAGAGAGAGCATGCGTGGGCCAGCGTGGCGGCTGACTCTTTAGTCTAAGCGGCCACACCGGCTGCGGTAAGACGGTAACTTGCTACTTTTGCCGAAAAGGAAAGAAGCACACTTCTTCTAGCTAAAATTAACTTCAGATAACGGTATCAAGCTCCCGGAATTTTTTTCCCGCTTGATGGATGCAGAGTCTTGTGGTCTACGCCGCAAGGCAGGGCGACATTTCGCCGAGGACGATTCGTCGCGCGACGTTTGGCCTCAGCTACTGCATATAGCGTCGAGGTCGGGTCGCCTCGCAAATTTTCGTCGTGGGACAATTACCCGGCTGGACATCCCGACGTTAGGCATTTAGTCGGGAGGTCGTTTCGACGATGAGACAATTTGCCGGAAAGCTACTTATTCGAACAAAAATTCCACCTATCCGAATATCAACAATAAACCTGGAGTAAGAAAACATAAGAAAGACATAACAGACCTGAAAGAACACAACGAAAACATAAGAAAGATATAACATTTAAAATGAATTAAACATTTAGAATAAAATAATTATAAGAAAACACAAGAATGAACTTAAGAGGACATACGAAAACATAAGGAGAACCGAGGAAACATAAGACAAGAGTCACAAGATAAGAGACCTTAGAAAGACTAGGAAAGAACGCGGAAACCTGATAAGAAATTTGAAAAACCCGTGGAAGCTAAGCGTACAAGCTTCGCTTGCGGTGAATCATCGGCGAGTGCGACCAAAGGTCCTGCGTCAAAATGTTGCAAGGCAAGATGCCTCAAAGCATTTTGTCCCAAACAGAAATGTCCCGGCCCGGCGTTGGGCAAATCAACTAAACGTTGGACAACCTCTTGTTCACCATAAACCGCAAGCTGAACAAAATGTGGAACCACAGAGCAACGTGACAAAATTCAATGAAATGAACATTTGTGCTGAACTGTTTTAGAACTCACCATTCAGAATCATTTTAACGTGAAAACTGGACGCCGTAGTTAGCTATTTTCGACCGTCAATAGTTTCCGAACTAGTTACCAAAAATTTCAAGAGCTCTTCGTTAAAATTATACGATGGGTGTTATAGGCCTCGGGCAAAGCTGTTTACAGCACTTCCCCGCGTAACCACCTCGTATAGAGAAAACGTCTTCATCCAAAACCGTGCGATTCAAGCGCGAGAGGATAGGATTCAAAGGTCGGAAAATTTTGTTCGCATTTGGACTGAAACTATTCGACTACGAACCGATACTGCTCCAGCACAGAAGCGCAACATTCTCAAGTGGAAGGATGTAGCTAGAATAAATGCACACAGTGACAAATGGGAACAGACTGGTTTTCAAACTGGATTTTCCGTAACGGATGACGATCGGCAAAACGAAGTGGCAAAGTTCGAAGCCAAGGTGGTTAGCCAGATGTTGTCAGAAACCTTTCTTGCATGGGAGCACACTATTGTAGCACCCGGAACGATAACTGCAGTCCGAAATTACAGCGTCTTGGCATGGGAAAATATTGTTCAAGCTCAACTACTTGATTTTGGAGCAGGGAATACAATCTATCGTCGTCAAGCATTTGCCTGCATTCCTCGTGCATGGGATTTGATTGTTCAGACTATGTTGCCTTACCTGATTGATGTAGAGTTTTTTCGACATTTCGTTACTGATGAGCGTAACACCAGCACAATAAACCAATACACCACCAAATTTCAGGGAGGGTTGATGAAGTCAAAGATGGCTAAAAGTATCACTGAGGTACTGCAAATGAAATTACAATATGTATATTGTTGCAGCAGTTTGTAGAGGAACTGTAAAAGCCACTACTTCGAATGCTGCCTTATATGGGCTCCCCTTATATTACTCTCCCTTATCTGGGCTCCCCAGCAATATGAGCAACCTCTACATGGGCGGTTACGTTATTACTCACACTTTCGCAGCTGTTATCAGAGTTATGCCTGACTAAAATTTTTGATTTATTTAAAGTACTTATTTTGCCAGTACTTTTGTAGCATTTAGTTTGTTTCAAAGTGCTCAGGTTGCATGAACGACAGTTTCAAAATCTTTCTAAAATTAAAACCTTTCTAAACGTCGCCCGCTGCACTGAGACTGACTGCACTGAGAACCCCATGAAAAAAATAAAGTGACATGAAATTTCGGCATTTTTCAGTTTGTTCATTGGCAAATCCGGTTGAAATTAATGAAAAATAATATTGTATAGATAATATAATATATAAATATAATTCGGATGTGAAATTTCGGAATTCTTTGGTGTGCTCACTTGTAAATCCGGTTGAAAGAAGTAGAAAAGGGTTTTGCTATAAATCCGATAAATTTAATTTGACGGGTATTGCTAACAAGCCGGGAGCCCAGATAAGGGAGAGTAATATAGGGGGAAAAATGTGTCTAGCCGAACCAATCCCTTGTACTTCTGATGTAAGCCAGCTGGTGGTTTACGTTGTGACTTGACAGTGTTTTATGTAAAGCGCTGCTATTTAGATTGCAGGTACTGATAACAGGTAAGCGGCACTCGTACAACTGCAGGTAAACAGGCTAAAACTGTATTATAGCCCGGACCTGCCTGGTGCAGTTAATACCACATGTACCGTCAATGCCGCACAGCCCAGTGCCGCTCTACAGTAGTATAGGCTTCTGGCAAAGCTATACAGGCTTGCTACTCATCATAAAACCCTGATGGGCGGAGCCTAGCTGTTCCGGAAAATAGCATAGAAGTCTACGGAAAATTTCAGTTAAAGCCGAACCTTTCGGTTTTGATTTGGTCTTTTGAACATTTGGTTGGTTCTGACTGACAGAGAAAGTCTGGGCGGTCAGAACCATATGGGTTTGGCTTGGTAAATCCGACTCGTCGCTGAAAAAAACAGGTATTAAGCAAGCCCAGCGGAAACGGGCGTCCGATGTGGGCAACCAGACATTTTAGCGCCAAGAACACAATGGCGCACACAATGAAGCCAGTCATATGGGCAAGAGAGAGACAGCGCACATGCCGTGGGCTTTCGATAGCATGCCAATTAAACTATAACAGTGAACGTTCTAATTATCGAATTCGGCCGCGTTTGGTATCATCAGAAAGAAGGAGGCGAAATTTCACAGGTGATGATGGTGTTTAAAGTTCCAAAAGTCTGGAAAGTTTAGAACCATAAGCGTTTATTCGGGCGAGAAAATTTCTCTACGGTAGCTTAACATAGGCGTTCTCTCTGTTCCCTTTCTCCGTCTCCGGATCAGCTCGAAAGTTTTACGATCAGTAGCAAGCCTGTATAGCTTCGCCAGAAGCCTATACTACTGTAGAGCGGCACTGCACAGCCTTAATAGCAGCGCTTTACATAAAACGCTGTGCAGCCACAACGTAAACCACCAGCTGGCTTACATCAGAAGTACAAGGGATTGGTTCGGCTAGACACATTTTTCCCCCTATATAAGGGGAGCCCATATAAGGCAGCATTCGAAGTACTGTATTAAAAACCGACAAGAGCAAAGTCTGCCGGATTAACATGCTTCTTTGACATAGATATGCAAAGAAATTGCGCTACTTCCCAACCCTGAATTTCTGTCTGCTTTATGTCTGCTATGGACATGCCTTAGCCTCACCGTGTGCCACATGGGAAACCTGATTCAAGATTTGGTAAATCAAAGTAACAACCCGGTAACTGGTAAATCAAAGTTTTTTCAAGGTTAAATTACTTATATAAGGGATATCGTCCCCAGATAAAGGACGACCCAGGCTCAAAAATACTCATGAACGAGCTATCTCTTATGATGTTTCGGGATTGCATCGTGTGCCACGAATTCATCCGTACTAAACTTCGCACTGCCATAATGAACAAGAGGAAACACGAGGAATTTCTCGGAGAAGGCATCATGCGCGGCATTTATGATATGCTAACTGACCTAGGAAAAGGAGCACCGTATGTGTACGACACAATCCTCGGAGATCCTGATTTGATGCTGCTTTATAACCGACTTTGGGTATGTGAAAGACCGTCTGGCAAAATATGTTTTGCATGTCTACCTATTCTACAGGCTATTTTTTAACTTGTTCTACAGGGCCAGTTCAAAACTTGCGTCATACAGAGGCAGGATATGAAGTTTGTTGAAAAATATAATATGCTTCTTGGAAAAAGCAAGAGTGAAGGAAATAAGCCAGAGGAAATTGTACTGTTTGGCAGAACGTGTCGCTATAGCTACCGCATCACGGACTATCTTGGTGGGGGAAGCTTTGGTGCGGTTTATGAAGGAGTTATCACAGAGAGTGGCAATTTTACCGGAGACGAACAACAACCAGTCGCAATTAAGGTCGTAACTCTGGAGACGCAGTCAAAGCTAATGGAAGACAATAACAAGTGGACCTCTTGGTGCCGGCGGATGAACACCATCGTTGAGTTAAACCATCCACACATTGTTACTTATCACAAAGTTACACTAGTAGCGGCGAGTCGAGGCGCTCTCGTCGAAATTATGATGGATTACTGCGGTAAGCAACGAGCAACGAATTTTGTACATATTGAAAATTTGTTCACTAAAAACAAACCGTCCTATCTGTAACATATATACATTCGTTACACTGGGGACTTTTGTGGGCATCAACTGAAACGTTCGCTTTTCCCAAAGTTTTTCCTGGTGCTATAGGCATGTAGTTTTATACAGTACTTGAATACCATTAAGTGCATAAGTTGTTCAAAAACCATTTGTGCGCGCAACTACCCTGTGCTGAAGTACCTCAGCTATAGTTTGGGAAGTTTAAATCCAGTTTCTATCCAACCCACCTGAAAATGGCAACGCGACGTCTCGCAGAAGACATTTTGTCGGCAGGGAAGCATGCCGCAAGACATTTCGCAACCAGACCGTTTATGCGACGAAAATGCATTTCTATTAAATTTTATGGTGCAGATTTTTTTTAGGCACAATAAAACAGTCAAACAATTCTAAGCAAAAAAGCAAAAACTTAAAAACCTAAGAAAACTAAATAAGCCGAAAAATAGATGAAGCCTCAGAAGCCTAGGCAGTCCAGGAAACCGACAAACCTACATATCCTAAGACAACTATGAAACTTAAGAGTTAAGGCACTTACCTATACAACCTAAGAATATCTGAGAGTACTCAAGAAAACCTAAAAAACTTAAGAAAAATACTAAGAAAACTTAAAGAATATCTGATAACCTAAGAAAACGCCAGGAAAGCAATCGAAAACTGAGCGTGTCGAATTCGTTTGCGTCAAAATGGTGCAAAGTGAGAACTTCTCCAAGCAAATTGTCCCAGCCAAAGTGTCCAAGCGTCCGTAGGTCCCGCGGCAAAAAGCGCTTGCCGAATTTGAGTGCGGCAGATGTCACACTCCCAGTTGTCCGGGTGCGCTGAAATGTGGCTGCAAACTCGAAACTGAAAGGGCATATTTGAAAGAAAACAGGGTTTAAATCATGTTCCGCGAAAACTAAAAGCAGTCTTTAGGTTGTCAAAATTATTAACCATTTTTACAATTTAAAAAATAGCGGAGATTCATTTTGGTTGAGCTGCCGTCACCATAATCATGGGCCGTTACAACAAAGCTTGAAAAATCCTGAAAAAGGAAACCGGCTTTTATAGCCTGAGTCTAAACATCTGAAACCAAGTTGTTTCGCCATGCCAGCAGGAAAACGTTTTTCTTGTATTTACAGATGGAGATTTGTCTGACCTTTTAGAACGACAGAAAAGAATTCGGTTACATGTCTCCACCGACGAATCGACAAAGTTGTTACTGGATTGTCCAGCAGTTGTGCGTTACGCTTCGGAAATCGCTGACGGCTTACAGTTTCTTCATTACAACGATATCGTGCACGGTGATCTAAAACCAGCAAATATTCTCACACGGTTTAGCAGACAGGAGATTCGGATGATAATCGGCGATTTGGACGATAGCGTGCAGTTACAACGTTTTGACACTCGTTCTTGCGACATCCAACATATTCGTGGAACAATCCGCTATATGGCGCCAGAGGTTCTCCAGAAGCTTGTTGCACTGGCTCCGAAACTCCTGGACGGAAATCTGACATGTGGAGTTATGGTTGTATAATCCTGGAGATGGCTAATTGTGCACTGGAGATCCATAAACAGTGGCTTTCGAAAGAAACTGAAAAGTGGGAAGCTGGACCCGCAATGGATGACTGTCAGTTCATAAAATTAATAGCAGAAGACGGCTTTATTCCATATGTTGATGACCGTATTCCTGCAGAAATTGCCGAATGTGTTCGCCGCAGCTTGTGTTTACTAAAGAATGACAGAAGTTCTGCAATGGAGTTGTTCAAATTTCTAAACTTCATTAGACAAAATAGTTGCGACTATGTGCTTCAAGTTGATGAATTTACGGCCTTGTAGGATTACAAATGGGAATCAACTGGACTAACGGTGTGGATTCCTTTATTGTGAAATTGTGAAATAATAACTTTTCTTACCCCTTGAAGTAGCCGCTACAAGTGATTCTTAAAAATAAGCTGTTGCTCTTACGTGCCACCTTGTAATGTAAAAAAAATACAATAACCCTAGTTAAGACACTTAACGCGAAACGGACAGGAAATTTTATTGTTTCTTGTTAACACTTTAGTCATAAGCTCGTGCACGCAAGTATGAGGATCACGAATACGAGTATATCATACCTAAAAGACTTTAAAATTATCCATACGTATCTTACGGTTCACGTAGTAATCAGCAGAATTTACAGAATCATGCGCGCAACCGATAAAGTTTTGGGCCTACTTCGAAATAAATATCAAATGAGTCTGACTAACAAGGAACCGTCAAAAACGCGCACCAATATTGAATTGACGATCATATTATATTTGTGGACCAATTGTGGTTGGTCCAACTTTACCAGACACTCCAAATGGCTGGCCAACCGAAGCGCGACGACATTCGTGAGCTTTCCAAGCTGGTTGACCACTTGTTGCAGTACAGCTTTAACACGAACCGCTCGAGTATACATAAGTACTGAACCTGACAGCTTCTCAAAGTGTCACAGACTGAGCATTCAGCTTGCAAAATTGATACAAAATTGATCCAGTGCTCAAAGGTAGTACGAACTACGAATCGTGTCATTTGCAAAGAGCACGCAATGTTAAACTGGCAGCTTATTGTTAAAAAAGACTGTTTTGTAGCGCTAAGAATGTTTTTCGTGTGGACTGTTTCTCCCAAGAACAGCGAAGAAGGTGAACCGTAACTTAGTGCGTAGATCGTGACCGGCAGAAAGGTTAGTTCGTGGGTAATACCTAGTATTTTTAATTTTTAATAGACCTTATATTCAACTTATTGCGCGAACGACGGACAGGCTAATGTCTTACTTTCGTGAAAACAGAGGGCTTTCGCTTAATTAATATGCCGTAGTAGGTACTAAGCTTGCCGTAGTGAGTGCACTTACTGCGTGACCTGATGGACAGACCCAAGCCTAAATTTCCTGCACATAGAGGACCTCTGCTTCGCATTGGTCGACTATTATTCTACCTACCCTTGAGTATGCAGCTAACGGGACGCGGTTAATTTCTACTATGGCTACAAGTCCTGCGGTGATGAAAAGCAAATGACAGCAATCGGCTCATAAGAAAGGACTAAAGCCAAGTATATTCTGCCTTGTGGTCAACCTAACACATGGGCTGGTAACCTGTAATTATCTGTAGTTATAAGCGCATTTGGCATACAGACTGGACCAATTTCCGACATAACTCGTAAACGCTAAACACGCTTTCCCGTTCGTAACGGTGTGGTCGTGTCATACAGCGGTCCGAGAACGGCAGGGGGTAAAAGGTGGCAGTGGCACCTGCCACTGGCAACTGGCAATTGCCACTGGCAGTGGCAGCTCACTGGCAAGCGATAAAACATGGCAGTTGCCACAAACACGAAATTCCAAATAAACTGATTCGGGACACCGATTTAAACATTAACTTAAACCGTGTCATCTCATGGTCAGAAATGGTTCAAAAATTGCTTGGCTATATTGCCGAACCCAAGTCGTGTATAACCGACCAGTAGACTTCGCGCGGAATAAATCACGGATTATTAATGAATGAAAACAATTCGAAGTCATTGGTAACTGCAATTTACAAATATAGGGAGGTTGTAATTTTGATGAACGGACCGTAGAGCAATAATAATTTAATTCTTCTGGCAAATACTTTATAATTTGTGGTCTTTTTGAATTGTTACGTTAAACACTGTAGTGCTTGTGGCGTATCGGCTTCTGATAGCTCGAATTATTACAAGTTGCTGTCCATAACTGTGGTGCCGGTTTTAAGTGTCTCCGACTTAAAACTTAGAAAAGGGATAACTGTCGGTCAACGTTTAACATTAGGTAGAACTGTTACCGAAACCTATTTTTTGTTACGAATCGTAAAAAAATTCTGTTTTGGATACAATTCTGAATGCCACCAATCGAGCTAAAAATTTAAACTGTTAAGTAGAAGCCGGTTATATCTTTAAGTTTCTCCTCAGAACGTTACAAGCTAAAAACTGAAAGGCCTGACAAAACCTCCACCTAATTCGAAAAACAGAAAATTAAAGACTGAATACATAGTAGCAGTACCATAATCACTTCCAATCTCATTGCCCCATCGGTATCAGCCCTACTCAGTTTACCACTACAGGCACGGTGTAACCAGTATTATTACCAACACCATTCACTAGGATAACCCTTTCTTAGTTTTGTCAAATTTCTTGGTCTCAACTTTTCGTAAAAGGTACGCATAGCTGTTTTTGGCAATTGCCACGTTTTATCGTTTGCCACAAGCATAACGGCAGATGCCACTGCCAGTGGCAATTGCCAGTGGCAGATGCCACTGCCACCTTTTATCCCCTGCCTCCGAGAACAGAAAGCGTAGTTCTGCGTTATACGAGTATGCATCTCAATCTTGATTAATTTTCCTGACGCAAAAACTCTGTACGAGGATGAGCAGTACAAGCGGTCCCACTTGTCGTAGATGGAAGCGCAAGCGGTTAAACCAAGTATCGATCTGCCAGCCCATGATACCTTGTAAACCGTAGATACGCAAGTACGCCCACAAGCTTTATGATATCCGCACAAAACTACCGCAATATGACCGTTTAACTTATCACAAAGGCACTACAAAATGAACAGAAAATGTTGGTATCGTTTTATTATTCAATAACCTCGGAGTAACTCTCAGTGGCCTATCACGTCGGCAGGGCACAACCTTTTGCACGGCAGTGGAATTTTCTAATGATGTTTTATGTGCTTGTCCGTGCCACAGCGCGGGAAAAAAGAGTTTCGGTTTTTCCCGCTTTTTCCGTTAACTGTATATTTCCCGCATTTTCTGGTAGCACTGCAGAAATTAGCGCTTCAGTATACGTTAAAGTATCAGTTAGATATCTACATCTATATATTCATACAATCTTACCGTCAAAAGGCGTAATTTCGTGGGTTATTATGGATAAATCAACGCGTGGTCGGTTTAAGTCAAGCTTAGTCTTGAAATAATTCTTGTTTTCCATAGGTATTTACGTTGAATTTTGATTGAACCTAGACCCTTCCAGTTCCACAATCTCTCTTAGTCGTCTTAAGTACTGGAGAACATACGAAATCCATGTTTGTGTACTTAACATAACGGGATCATCGAGAAATTACGTATGGACAGTAAGGACGAGGGCAGGGTGACGAATTTTGCAGAACCATACAGTTAACAATACTCAGGAACTCAACCACCACGAGGGGCGGGTGGGATTTTTGTGGTCTTTTGCCTTCCTGAAATTTGTGGATGATCCTGACAAAGCACCCTCTTACTTTTTATTTGAGGTACCTGACATCTGTACAGCACGTGTTATTTTAACGATAAGTACTTACGGATATACAGCGTGGTAGCGCCAAGTTGAAGACAGCGCATATTTAATTCGCCCCCTCACTTCCCTGTACTTGTTAGTTCTGCTCAATTATTATGGATAAAACTATGGTTCACGGTTCACCTATTTGAAAAAAAATTTTTGCTGTCTTAATTTTTTAAAAAATTTTTGCTGTCTTAATTTTTTTTTTAAATTTTTGCTGTTTTTGCTTTTGAGTTAAAAGTACCAAACTCTGAAATTTTAATAATTGGCAACCAACTGTCTTCAACTTGGCGCTACCACGCTGTAGGTGAAGTTAAATACAGATACAGAAAACCGTAACTATGGATCTGGGAATATACTGTACTAAATTATTATTAATTTTACTGTTACGTATAGTACAAAAGTAAAGGACTTAACGTTAAAAAAGGTTTATAGGAGGACCTGACCTAGTCAGCGCAGCTGCGAAAGGCTTTTGTACCCTTGCAGCATCATTCACACAGTCTTACCGTCCATTAGGCGTCCAAACGAAATCTGTAGATGAGTGACCGACCGATCTACCACAACTCATCATCAAAATCTCTAGATGAGCGAGTAAAAGAGCTACCAACACCGTCCTTTGAGCAAAATCTGTAGGAGAGGGCGTGACCGAGCTACCACTGCTGTCCCGTGAGCAAATTCTGTAGATGAGTAAGGGACCGATCTACCACAACTGTTCCTTGAGCAAAATCTGTTACGCGAGTGAATGACCGAGTGGGCTAAGATAATCCATAAATTCAAGCCTGACCTTTCCAATACTGACTTGCCGAGCGCGGAGCGCGAGGCTTACCTTGTATTCATACAATCTTACCGTCGCAAGGCGTAACTCCGTGGGTTATTATGGAAAAATCAACGCGTGGTCGGTTTAAGTCCTTCTTAGTCTTGAAACTAATCTTATTTTCCATAGGTATTTACGCTGAATTTTGTTTGTCCCTAGAACTGCAAGGTTTGAAAACTCTCTTAGTCGTTTTAAGTATAGAAAAGCCTGAATCTCCATGGATTAGACTACGAGGTCATCCAGAAATTTCGTAAGGACCATAGCAAAAGGTGAGGGGCGGAAAAAATTTACGGCACCTTACATTTAACATACTTAGAATGTCAACCCCAGTGAGGACGGGTGACATTTTGATCTTAAATAGTCTTCCTGAGATTTCGGGACGATCCAGACAAAGTGTTGTTTTACTTAAGTGCTTACAGTACTTGAGAAGCCTGACAACAAAATTGCGTAGAACTCTGCAATTTAAGTAAGTATGACATTTGAAGTAAGGACAAATGTAACCATGGATCTGGGACAATATTATGCATTAATGTACAATAGTTTGTACTGTACGTCGAGTGTACGCTTTTGATTTTTGCGATAGCATAATAATGAGTCAGCGACTGTCCCGTGAGCAAAATCTGTAGGTGAGTGAGTGACCGAGCTACCACGACCCATGAGCAAAATCTGTAGGTAAGTGAGTGATCGAGCTACCAACACTGTCCCGTGAGCAAAATCTGTAGGTGAGTAAGTGACCGATCTACCAGCACTGTCCACTACCACGACTGGTGTCGTTAACGGTTTACACTACTGTCGTATCTCGTAACAGTCCATAAATTCAAGCCTGACCTTTCCACTACACATTTGCCGAGCGCGGAGTGCGAGGCTTACCTTGTATATGTAAAGATATCAGTGTGAAAAATTTCATTTTAGCTAAGTCATACAGCGCGCTGCGCCGCATGCGTTCGGAATGCTGTGGGTGGAATTATCCGTCTTTTTAGTCCTAAGCTGTATATTTATGTGAGTCCGTGTATACATTATTATGTTATGATATGTAAGCATATACTGTACCTGCGCGTGTTTAAGGGACAGAAAATTGCCCCAGACCGCCCGCACTAGGCGTCGGATACTTCGACATCAAAGAAACCGACGTCTAGTGCTGGCGGTCCAGGGGAATTTACTGTCCCTTTACTCGCGCGGGTACAGTACAATATGTGTACATGTAAATGATGTAATATGTATATTTTTATTACGTGTATATGACGTATCTTCTTCACTAACAGTGTAAGCGTATGCCAACAATAAACATTTGCTAATAAGTGGAACGTAAAAACCGAGAACAAAATACAGCGAAAGATTATTTCAAATTTCTTTCGCTTCAGATCGTTACGCGGTGTTTTAAGCAGCCCTATGGATGCTTCAATCTCTATAAATTAACGATCTTATAAGCGCTTGACAACTCCATAAAATCCGCTGCCGAATGATGCGCGCATTCCACAGAAATTGCACTGACCTAAAGATGCCGGTATCAAGATGCTGTGAATCATTTCTTATCTTTTTAAGAGCTAATAATAATTGCAAACTTACCAAGTTGCCACCGTCCGTGGGAAGATATATCTGCTCACTCAGTTCAGCGCTTTGCACTCTGAAAAACGTAATATTACCAGTTTAATCAACACATCAAAGGCCTTGTTCACCGGACAGAATATTACTCGTATTACTGCACGAAATCGATGAAGATGAAGTTACCCAAGAAATTGACCAAATATCATTTACGCATAATTTTCGGTGGAATTCACATTATTCTCGGATTAATATATATCGGCCTGCAAATTATAGGTAAGAAACTGAATGCACAATTCTTCCAAGGTATTCTTCATTTACAATCTACATAACTACGGGCCCACTTTTAACGTACTGTACTTTGAAGTACTTTCTATCTATGAGACCACCAGACCAGTTGACAACAATTCAAGAAGTGAAGCCGACGTCCACTGCGTTTCTCCGATACAGTTAAAATATCAGTCGTGATTTTCGAAAGTCGTTCTTTGAGCTAGTAACTTAAATTTTTTCATCTGGGACAAAATTAATAATTCAGACGCAAACCAATGGTGTCAAATTGCCGCCAAATTATAACAACATCGCGCCGTGATTTCAGTGTTTCTTTAATTTTTGTGGAATAACTAATAAAACTTCGTACAAAACAACGTGGAATAATTTGGCCTCTTTAATTTTTGTGGAATAATTAAAACGTCGTTAATCTGTAGACAACGTGAAAATGACAATCGTACAATCGGTTGGCGCTTCACAAATTTAATACCATCCTAAATTAACGATGAGATTACAACTGGAAAACATTCATTTTAATGCAAACTGAACACAGCACCGGAATCCAAAAAAAGTTTGTTTGTGCGATAGGCGTTAGAGCAAAAATTAAATTCTTTAAATTAGCGCTGGATGGCGCCGCCGGTCCCCGTACTTTAACAGAGATTTATGCCTGTATTCTTTTTTGCATATGCTTTTGATTACAGTGGAAATCAGCAGTTGGACCTTCCACACCCAGAACACCGCCGAGGACTTCCTGAAACCCGGCTTCGTCCTGGGCGCTATGGAACTCTTCTACGGAATCCTTACCATTTCCCTCTTCTTCCAAAAATCCTTCAACTACCCGCTGCGGCTGATGGAAGCCATCGTGGCCGCCGGCGCCCTGATGTCCATCATCCTGTACATCGCCATCCGCTTCCGCTGGTACGCCCATGACCCGGACTTCACTGACAACTTCACGGATTGTTACAACGCACCGCTGTGGCCGGAATACTACATGTGGAACCGGCCGCCACATTGCAGCGCCTATTTCATTAAGCGTGTGATTATGTGGGTGATGATGGGCGGGGTCTTTGGGGATCTGGTACTGGATTTTGCCCAGTTGATTTTGCTGAGGATTCTGTGGTTGAAGGATTCGTTTTGACGGGTGATCTACGAAGTTAACTGGCTTTTTAACCTACGAAGTGTTTATGAATGTATACTACGACCATTTTGAACGGGTTTATTTGTAATGGACATTCACTGCATTTTATTGCTTCATGAAATTTAGTTGTACATAAAAGCGATAACGTTATTCCATTCAAGCAGCAGCTACGTGCGCCGTTAACATTCATTTTGTGATGAGTTGTATCGCTTGGCTGCATGAGAGAAAACACCGGCTGCACACGCTACGATTGCAGTACTAATGTGCGTTTGCTGCGCTTTAATACCGGCTTATACAGAGTACAGTAAGTTCAAGATCACATGTACTTACACTGTACAGATATTACCGTACGGGTTGCATCGTCGGAGAAATTGCCGGCAACCAGTACTTTATCGATCGGAAAGCATGCGCGCATGCCTGCGAAGACGTAAAATAAAGTTCTGCAAAACCAGCAAGAACTATTTTTATTGGGATACTCTAAGTACAGCAGATCCAGAAAACGTTAAAATCTTGTGACAGATTTTGTTTTTTGTGCCACAGATATGGCTGATGTCTCCCACAGCCGTGCAGACGAGCAGTGTAATACAGTACTGTACGTACTAGCATCTGGAAGTTGGTTTCGAATACTAATTAATGATTTCTTTTCAAAGTATTCTAGCACATGTTTGCGTCTCATCAGTGCTTTGGAATGGTGTAATTCATTTTACGATGAAATAATTAAAATAATTGAACGGAATAAGCAATTGAAAAGTTATAATGTTTTATCTATTGATATGTCTATTCCATTCAACTGATAAAAGGTGTCAATTATTTTTATTCTAAATGCCCAATTTACTGGAATTTTTTAAGACATGTCTTGGGAGAAAACAGACCCGATCCCCGCAACCGCGGCCCGATCCCATTCCCCGTGGATATCCTTTGCCACCACATACTACCGACTTCAGTGTAACCACGGTTAACTCTTTTGCCGTGACACTGTTCAAGAAGCTTGTAGAAACCTCTTACTGTCCTCAGCGGAACATTGCCGTTAGTCCGCATGCTGTTCAAGTCGTCCTCGCAACGCTGTTGCCCGGGACTAGCGGGGAAGTCTACGCGGCATTGGCGAATCTGTTATGTTTAAACGGAAGAACTCCTCCAGAATTATTCGGATCCTTGGATGCCATTAACGCCAACGGTGCACTGAACAGTGTCACCACCGTATTTTACGATGAAAATTGTCGTTTAGTCTCCGAGTATCAGGAGACATTGGAGAAGTCCGTCGTCATTCATACCAGAGAGACACCAGTCTATCTAGATAAAGATCAAGACTACAGATGGTCTGCTGTAGAGCCTCATTATACTCACTATAAATCCCTACAGTGCGAGTTCGTTCCAGTGCCTTTTCGGGATGATTTCGAGAAAGCAGTAGACATCCTCCAGAAGTCTGATTTTGGAAGATCGGGGAATAAGTTTCACCACTGGCTGGACGAACGCCGGACGGATGCCACACTGGTCCTGCTGAACAGGGTTGAATTTTCCGGTCAATGGGAGGAGCCGTTTTATCCCGGAAAAAGCAGAGACGACACGTTCTACTGCGCCGATGGTAAAGAGAAATCTGTGGTCTTCATGGAGCAGACGTTCAATCCCAGTCGTTGCTATAATGTTCAGCCGGACACCACCCGTGCCCTGCACGCCGAAGACCCGCAGATGGTCATTTTGGATGTTTTGGGAAGGCAGTTCAGTGTGATGATTGTGTTACCAGGGGAAAATAATGGAGGAATGCAGGCACTGGAGAAGACGCTGACAATTGAAAATCTACTGCAATGGCGACAGAAAAGCCGGACGTGCAATAATCTGTATATTGTTCTTCCCAGATTTCGTATCCGTTGCGGTGTCGATTTAAAAGTATGCACGCAGTCGATGGGATTACAAGAACTGTATGCAGCGTCCAGCACGGGGTTTTCGCCGATGGTCAGCAGCGACGGACCGGTGAAAGTTGACGAATTTAAGCAGGAGGTGACCATAGGTACGGATTAAATTAAATCTTCAACGCTGGAAAGTTTCACTGTACGTAAACGGGGAATACATTAGGAGTCGCTGTATGTAAATTGGGATAATGTGTCCTTACAAGGAAAATGAGTACAGTGGAACCTCCGAGTTTGAACACCTCTAAGCGACGAACACATCTGAACCTTGAACATAATTTTTCGTACCGTCGTAACGTATAACACTGGCGGTAACCTCTGAGCCGTGAACACCTCTGAACACTGAACAAAAAATTACGTACCGAGGGTGTTCAAGATCGGGAGATTCCACTGTATGACTTCCCACGGCTTAAGGAAAGTGACCTGGTACTATACCATATCCGTGTGCATGCACCAAAAGCTTTCGCTTTCGCGCACTCCGAAGCACTTTTTTCGCACTTTATCCACATGCTTTGTGTACATTTACGTGAAATCCGTTTGTTAGCCGGTCAAGGTATTATGGTTAAGGAATTATGGCTGTAAAAAAATTCCAAAATGTTGAAACACATGCAGATGTACGAGTACAAAAAGTCTCATTATCATACGGTCTTCTTCGAGTGTTGCATGGGAGTGAAAATTCTAACCATGAAGCTTGTTCAAGCACCGGCCCAAGCTTGTTCTAACGTGTTTTTCAAATTTTAAAATAAATTGCTGGAATTTTAAAATTATTTTTAAGCTTGGAAAATTGTTGGAGCAGTGGAGCGGTGTATTAGGAATTTAGGGAGTAGCTATGTGGTCACTAGCACGATTACTCACGCCACAGTTGCGACCTTATTACATAGTTCAATAACAAATTTCAAAAATAATTTAAATACATGATTTGCAGAAGTGGACGAATACGGAATTAAAACGGCGCCATGTTATGGTGAACTGAACGAAATAAACCTGCTCAGCTATCCGAATTTCGTGGCTAATCGACCCTTCCTTGTCGTCATTTGGAACGAGTTAGCCAACGTACCGGTCTTCATTGGACGAATTACCGATCCAACTGCCTGACCTCGTCCTGTAATGCAGTGTTCCAGATCAGCAACAGCAACGTTTTCGAAACAACTAGCCGCATAAACCATAAAGCAATCGCAAAGTACGGCTGTGTTTATCTGAAGCGCACCCGAATACGAAAATAATTTCTATGTAATACAGTAAAAAATTTGTACGTGTTTCATACAGTTCGAGTACCGATTTCTTAACCTTTCAAATACGTTTGGTACTGAAATGAAATTGATATAAGTTTATATAACTGTTTGTTGGGGGATCCTCGTAACGGCGTTAGCTTCTAAAATGCGTAGGTGTACAGATACCTTGGGCTTTTAGCACAAGCGGCACAAACCAGTACAACTTTTTATGTATTAGATGAATGCGTTATCCGCATGCTCCGTTGCGTTAATATTATGGTAGCTGCGTTGCTTTAGTGTTTCTTTGATTCTGCAGCCAGTCCCATAAGATGTACTTCCGAAGTGTCGACGTTTCAGTGTTCCTGCTGAAAACAGACCCGTGCAATTTGCTGGTGTTTCACCGTTTTTTTTTTCGTACGCTGGAAATGTTTCCTACGCAGATTAACAACGGCCCAAACGCGCTATCTATCAGTAGAAAGCGAGCTCATGCCAATTAATAACTACTTTAATAAAAGAAGGCAGTAAATTATTCGAATAAACGATGCTTTCTGCCAAGCAACTTTTCTAATTGTTGCTTTATGGGAGTCCAAGTATGTAAGACCTTAATGATAGCTGAGAAAAGCGATCGTTCAACAAAACATTAACTTTCTCGATGCTGATGCGAAAATTAAGGAAAATAAATGCCCGACTTTTACAACACGGATTTAATCAGTTTGTCGTGCTTTCCAGTGTGTACATATCGGAGTGTAGAAAACACTGTACATAAAATGTATAAGCCACTTTGCTACCAAATACATAGCTTTTTATTCGTTAGAATTACACATACAACGGTACATATACATAGCTTCTTGCAATTAGAATCACATGTACATGTACCTGTAACTAACGTAATGTCCATGTAACATATAGTATAACAAAATTAATGTGCATGTACAAGCTTGTCCGGTAATTTCTGTCGTAAAGGATAGCACATATTTGGCGCGGAGTTTGCGCTATAGCGATTGCCACTACACTACGTTTGGCGTAACACGCAAATTTGTGTATCTCGCTGTTTTGAACCGGCAGAAATTACCGGACAAGCTTGTACTAATGTACAAGTAACATGCACATTACTCCTACAATTACATACCACTGTACATATATCCTTTTTTACCTCATTTGCTCGTGCTGTTACGGACATACGGCATATAACCGGACGCAGTCATTGCCGGCAAGATAAACAGACGGCTTACGGCCGCACATATGGCCAGTGTCCATCATCAGCAGCAATTAACGTTTATATTTAGTAACGTGTATCGAGTAAACAGTGGTCTTGTGCCTTATGGATAATGTGCTGGTAATTATCGTGTTGTCTTATCAATCATAAGCATATGGGCTATTAAGGAAGATGTACGTACTGTCCGTTGTCCACTCTGTGTGTATGTGCGACTGCAAAACATGGCAATTATGAATGCGTGCACTTGACCTAGAATATTTAAACGCAGTGTGAGTGTGCATTGGGAATTGAATTGGTTTTAGTTTTCTCTTGGTCCGTTTCGGAGTTGTTCGGTACTTTTGAATTAAAGTTAAAATACCAACTTTAGCATTGCCGCTTAGCTGCTGCGTAAAGTCTGCAGCGATACGTAGTAGTGGAGCGATTAATGTATCATTTGGTGCTGGACTAGGACGGACAATAATATTGTTATACTGGACGCAGTGTGATAATATTATTTGAGACCTTTTGCTTCAGTCTAATAAATATTGGGATTATGTCGACAAACGGAGCGCCACCACCGCCCCCGCCTCCGCCGGTACAGAATATGCGCAATGCGACACCGGTCGTAGTGGATCCTGTCAATCTTGCACAACAGATGACAAAGCTGTCTTTGACGGAGCCGCCCTCCTTCAGCGCGTTGGCAGATGAGGACGTTGAATACTGGTTACACCGGTTCAACACCGTATCCACCGCCAAAGAGTGGAATGAGGCCAAAAAGATACAGAACGTCGGTCTGTATCTTATTGGCCACGCTGGCAGTTGGTACAGAAAGGTCACCTCTGACGGAACGGTAGCCCCATACGCCACGTGGAAAGCATTTACCGATGCTCTGATCGCACGTTTCCGATCTAAGGACTACAAAGACCAGGCGAAGCGCCAGCTGCGCGAAAGGAAGTTATCCCCTAACGAAAATGTGGGCAACTACTATAATGATATTCTGGCGCTATGCGATAGAGTGGACAGCTTAATGGACGACGAAGAGCGCATTCAACGCTTGACAAACGGACTAACGCCGGCACTGTTAATTCGACTCGGCACTGAAACCGCAACGACGCCTGCGGACTGGCTCAGCCGGGTACAGCGTGCACTGGAGAACATGCGTTTGGAATTGCGTAACGCACCTGAACGCGCCCGCCCTGTTCAGGAAGACACCGGAAGAGGCAGCTGGAAGGGATACAGACGGGACTGGAGGCACAGTAACTGGAACAGTAATTACAACAGCAATTACCAGCCGGAAGCCAGCCAAGGAAGTGGGTCAAGCATGAACCAACAGCGTCAAGGACCGGGCAGTGAAAGGTCACCATGGCGTGGAGGTGGAAGAGGTTATCGCGGCCAGCGTGGAGGCCGTGGCGGGTGGAACCGCCCGCGTGTGCAGTGTTTTAACTGCGGCGGACCGCACAGAATCAACGACTGTCCCAAGAACAACAATGCCGGCCAGGGCGGAAGTGGAGCCCAAGCGCGCAGTACTGTAACTGCCGGCACAGAAGGTGAGCATGCAGCTTATGCAGCGTATTATAACGCCCAGTACTCTTCAATGGCTAGCGACCCCGGGAATGCCAGATGGAGTGTGCTGGAAGGGGGTAAGCAGTACCCCGGCGACCCGACGTCACCGATTTCGGTGGACGAAGACGGCATGGATGAAGCTGCCGGAGAAGCCGTCGAGAGGAACCAGGGCCCCGTGGGTTCTTCTCTTGGGATCGGGTCGGGAGCAGTCGGCCAGCCGGTCACGTTCTTGTTGAACGGCCGCCCCGTGACCTTTCAGATGCAGGCGGACGCGACTGTAATGATGAAGATGCCGCCGGAGGTGTTCTTTAACCTCATGGGCGTGGTGGTGCCAGCGGCCGCACCGGTCGAAATCGACCAGAACGGCAATGACCCCGACGATGTTGCGCGCCGGTTTGGACAGCGAGAGGTGGCAGTGGCCATGTCACCTGCGTCGCCGGTTGGGAGCGCGAGAGGCGTGGCTGTGGCAGCAGCCCGCGTGGAAGGCAGCGAGGTAGGAGTCGGTGGTAGCCGTGGAGGCGGAGTGGACGCCCCCGATGACCGTGTCCAGAAGTGGGTTGACGCTGTTGACCCCGGAGCCAGGGTGGACCGGTTGATAGCGGATGTGGAGGAAGCCCTGGAAAAAGAGTGGGCGGAGATGGAGAGTGTCAGCGAAGCGAGTTTTACCGACGATACCGCCAGCACCGCCACAGCCAGTGAAGATGCCCGGCGCATGGAGGCGGTAGTGAATGAAGTTATGGCGGCAACGGCTGGCACTAGCAACGTTGTCTCCGAGGATGGGATGGAAAGCAGCGACTCGGAGATGACCAGTTACAGCCCACCATCGTACAGTATCCCGAGTTACTGTACATCGCCATATTCGGGTTTGCCATCACCAGGCCCGGCGAGTGAGGGAGAGCCGGCACAAACGGTATTGGTGGAAAGGTCACCGGATGGCACCGAAGTGGTGTTCGGCAACAAGCCGTGGTTCGACGAGGAGACACAGCAGTGGTATGAACCGACACGAATGGTCGACATGGTGTGGAACGTCGTGCGCGCGAAGAACCCACAGGCCCGACATGTCGCCGGCCCGCCAGCAGACTATCCACCTTTTGGAGGATCAAAGGAACTGCTGCCACTCAGCCGCGAAGTACCAATAGTGGACCTGACCATAGCCGGCAAGGCAGCCACCGCGTTGATCGACACCGGAGCCAGCCTGTCGATTATCAACGTCAGCTTTGTTCGGGGCCTGGGTGTCGAGGTTATCCCACACGCCATGGACGTCACAGTAGCAGATAACCGGGTTGTCCGAACTGCCGGTATGGTCCCGCTCAACATCACACTCGGTGGCATGCACGGAGTAGTGCCATTCGTGCTCTTTGACAGCTTCGGCAGCGGCAAATATGATGCAGTGATTGGCTGCAACGTGCTCGCCATCCCAGGCGTAGTGGTCAACGTCGGTACCCGGACAATAGAGCAGGTAAGCTCACCAGCTAACAGTCCATACGGTCCAAACACAGGACAATGCCCTCCCAGGGACGCGGAAGGAAAGGTCGGCGTAGGAAAGCAGCCCCAGGCCAGTACCGTACTGGCAGGCGTCTTTGCCCAATTTGCCCCAACCGAGGCGAGCCGACAGCAGCAACTACTTGCAGCCACATCACCGGGAACGGAAATGGATTTGAGTCACTGGGAGTACAGTTGGCCAAAGGTCTCAGTAGACACTTTCGACATAGGTGACAAAAAGACGGCGCCATGGGTTAGCGAATGTAAGGAGCTGCTACGCCAGTACGAAGATCTCTTTCATACGGAAGGTCGAAGACTAGGTAACGCGAAGGTCCCTCCTTTTAAAATCGAACTTCGCCCAGGTACGAAACCTCGGTACCGGAACCAGTATCGCCGTGCACCAGCGGAAATGGCCGAGATAGAGCGACAGGTGCGAGAAATGTTGGCAAAGGGCGTGATTCGCGAGTCTAACAGTGAGTGGTGTTCCCCACCGATTCTCGTGTACAACAATGCCAAGGCCGACCCCAGACTGTGCAACGACGTTAGGGCAGTTAACGAGGTCACTGTCCCGGACCGCTACCCACTTCCCCGGGTAGATGACTGTCTCCAGGTACTCGCCCGCGCCAAATTCATCTCGACCCTGGACTTACAGTCGGGCTTCTGGCAAATCCCACTCGCGGAGGAAAGTAAACCGATTACAGCTTTTCAAGCGGGAAACGGTCTGTACGAGTTTGAAGTGGTTTGCTTCGGTCTCCGCAATGGCCCGGCATATTTCCAGCGCGTTATGTGTAAAGTCCTTGCGGGCCTGCTCTGGATCTATGTATTCGTTTACATAGATGACATCGTGATCGCAACGGAAACAATTGCTCTACATTGGGAAGTCGTCACAGCCGTTTTGGAACGCCTTCAAGCTGCCGGTCTCATCCTTAAGCCGTCGAAATGTCACTGGATAAAGTCCGAAGTGAAGGTTCTCGGATTTGTCGCTAATACTGAAGGAATCCTTCCCGACCCAGCCAAAGTGGAGGCCATCACGAAGTTCCCAGTGCCCACAAACCTTAAGGCATGCAGGTCGTTCTTGGGTTTATGCAGTTACTACAGGCGCTTTATTAAGGGATTTTCCATGATTTCTGGACCTTTGTCACGGCTGACCAAGAAAGACGAACCTTTTATTTGGGCCGAAGCACAGAAGTCGGCATTTGAAGCCCTCAAAAATGCGATGGTTTCGTCTCCTGTTCTCGTGCATTTCGACACTTCAAAGGACGTCGAAATGCACCCTGATGCCTCGGGCTATGCTTTGGGTTTGGTTTTGCTTCAACGGGATGATAATGACCAGGAGCGCGTGATTGCTTACGGTAGCCGACGACTGCTCCCAGCTGAAAGAAATTATTCGACGACAGAAAGGGAATGCCTCGCTATCGTTTGGGCTTGCGATAAATATCGC